GTGAGCAGGGTATTTTAGTGAAAAGGTTTCAGGAAAAAGGTTATTTTCATTTAAATCAACTTGAGTCCTGGAAATGGGGAAATACAATGCCGCACTTTAAAGGAGGGGGTTTTTGGAAAATTGGCAGTTTGGGGGGATATGTTGAGTTCTTTATATGTTATGCTTCTAAATGTTGTATTCTGAGCACCTCTCCCCAAAAAAAGGATAAAGTGTGAGTGTGGGAAAGTGTTGAATGATGAAAAAATATTTTCTTTATGGGATTTTTTTTCTTTTTTGGGTCACCCTGCCCCGGGGGAGACAGCCGAACTTGTTGAAAAAAAAAAAAAAAAAAAGTTTTTTCTTTTTCTTTTTATGTTGTTATACTGTATTTTATCTGTAAGGTTTTGGGTAAACCTTGTACAACAAATAGTTTTTTTTTTCCCCGGAAATTTGGGATAAAAAAAAACGGCGTAAGTCGAGTGGTGTAAGTCGAGAGGTGTAAGTCAATGGTAGGGGTTTTTTAATTAACCCCGAAAATTTTCCCCCCCTTTTTTTTAAAATTTTTTAAATCTAACCCTAAATTTTTGGGGTGGAAGTAAGGAGCAGGAAGACCTCAGTCGTGAAAAAACTTCAGCTGTGGGTCATCATATACAAGCCAACATCAGGGAAAAATTTTTCCTTTTTCGGCAAACCTTTTTTATTACCTCAATATTTGGAGGCCAGAGATGAGTGTTATAAGGGGGAAATATGACAAAATTATAAATAACAGTGGCAGAAACCCCGGGGTGGTCCTGTGTTTTCGGGGAGACCAAGAAAACTCCCTCCCTCAGAAGTAGGCTTGATTTTGTGATGCTCACTCAACAGGCGTAAGTAATTTAATCTACTGTGTAAAATATCCAGTTTTCCCTTTATGTTCCAAAAAAAATAAAAATTATGGAATAATTTTTAGTTTCCAAAAAAAAGAAAAAATTTTAAAACGAATTTTTTTTTCTTATAAAATGTGCTGGGATAAATTGGGGGTTTAAAGAAAACCGACCCACCCGCAGAGCTGGTGGAAAAATTTCATTTCCCCCAAACAAATTTTTTTTTAAACTACCTCACACCTTATTGAGAAGGAGAACGAATTTTGGAAAGGGAAAGGGTAATGGGGTTCAAAAAAAAGGGGGAAAAAAGGAAAAAAAATTTTGGGGATATTTGACTTGGACATCCAACGGCTGGGATGGTTTGTTAATTTTGGAAACAAATAAGAATTTTTGAGAAATATGAATTTCACATTTTGGAAAAAAAATTCACAATTGGTTTTTATTCCAAAAACACCCAAATGGGTTTTTTTTCATTTGTTTTAAAGGTGAAAGGAAATGGAAAACATAAAAAGTTTTTTTTGACCACCAATTACCCCGGTTGGATTCAGTTCAAGCCCAGGGATGCTCCTTCCCAAAAAGTGAAGAATGATTATAAAGGAATTAATGTTTTGGTTCTGATTTTTTGAATCGACTAAAACCCTAGAGAGTTGAAAAATTTTTTCGTTAAAGGATCCTTTTCAAAGTCTTACAGCAAAAAAACACTTTTAAGTGCTTGGAGTTACAAAGGTCTTTTTGAAGGGGCAGGGGGGGTCTTAACGAAGGGATCCGGGGTGGAAATAAGACCCCGTAAGGGGGTGGGATGTAAAGTTCAGGGGTTTTTTTGAATGATGTTTGCCACTTTTGGAAAAAAACTGTTGGACTAATGGGTGAAATTTTTTTTTTTTTTTGGATCACCTTACCCGTTTAAAAAAAATGGGGAGTAGGCTAAAAAAACTTCCCAAAATCAATTTTATTTCCATGCCGTTCGGGCAAATTTCGTGGGTTTTTTATTTGGTCGCAATTTTATACATTTAAAGTTTTTACCCCGCCCCTTCCTGCGGGTTTTGGGGGCCCGGGATTACCTCAAACTTCCTCCTCCCCTTTTCCCCTTTTTCTACTTTGTTTTGGGACTGGCATAGGTACCCCCGGGGACCCAAATGGATGGGGGGTAGCCGGGAGCCACAGCGTGGGTGGGTACCCCTGGGACCCAGGGTGGGGAGTGGGTACCCGGGGAGCCAGGGTGGGGGGAAAGGTAGCCGGGAACCCCATGGTGATGGGGGGGTGGGCCTGGGAGCCAGGGGTGGTGGGTGGGTAGCCGGGGACCATGAGGGGTGAGTGGGTAGCCGGGGACCCAAAGGTGGTGGGTGGGTACCGGGGAGCCTGGTGGTGGGTGGGTACCTGGGAGCCAGGGTGATGGGTGGGTACCTGGGCCATGGGGGGTTTGGGGTTGGGTATCCGGGGACCCCGGGTTTGGTGGGGGGGGAAACCCCGGGGAAGCCATGGTGGGGGGTGAGTACCCTGGGAGCCATGATGGTGAGTGGGTGGGCCGGGGAGCCATGGTGGGGGGTTTGGGTAGCCGAGATCCATGGGATGGGTGGGTACCTGGGAGCCATGGGGGGTTTGGGTGATACGGGGGACCATGGCAGTGGGGGGGGTAGCCGGGGACCAGGGTGGGGGGTGGGGTACCTGGAAGCCAGGGTGGGGGTGGGTAGTCTGGGAGCCATGGACAAAACCTGTAGCCCCACCAAAGGGAAGAACAAAAAAAAGGGGTTGCTGGGACCCAGGGGGGGGCCTGACGGGACTGAGGGTTTTAACCCACTACTCCTTTATTTTTTGCCTTCTTTATTTTTTTTGCTTCCCTCCCTACTCCCTCCCTACCTTGCTGCCCTTTCACCTCTACCATTAAAAGGGAAAGAGAGGAATGGTGTTTCACAGCCCCCTAGACATGTGTGTGTGACATAACATCAACTCTTACTCACCATTTCCTTCAACCCACCGCCCTTTATTTACAGAGATTTTAAATTTCAATAGGGGTTAAATATCAAGCGGTTTTTGGGGTTTTTTTATTAAAGTGACCCCATTTGAGTGAAAACACAGACCCCTCCATCACCATTTCACAAAACAGTGAATTTTTAAAGGGCATACAGCAAATGTGCAAAATTGCACAGGGGCCCAACTCTGCAAAAAAAGTGGGGGAAATCTCCCATTTTTCCCTTTCCCATTTTTATGCTTGGGAAAATGAAAAACTGATTTTTTTGAGAGAAGGTATAGTTTCCCCAACTTTCCCCCCCCCTCCAATTTAAGGCTGAATCAATTTAAATGGTCTGTAACATAAATTATGCCCTATAAAGTCATCCCATGTTAAATTAATTTAAAACCCAAAAGGGTGTATAAATCTGTAGTGGTGGGGGGAAGGGGTAGGGGTCCCTCCAGGAAAGAAGGGGGGAGGGAAAAGGGTTTTTTGTTGGGAAGGGGCTTTTGGGCATGCCCGCAGGTAGTGTTTGTTTAAATGGGGGGAATAGAGACAAATTTTTTTGGGGCCTGACAAGCTTTTGGGGTGTGAGGGAGAGTAAAAAATTTTTGAAAGGGTTTGGGAAACCATTTTGCCCCTTTAGTATGGGGGGCAAGAAGTACAAGCCGCAAATTTAAAGGGGGTATTTGGGATATTGGGTGTTTGGATAACATCTAAACTATTGTAACCGATGCCTGTGCAAAGACAATGATTAGGGGGTAAAATTAAAAAAAAGTTTCAAAGGAAAGGTGGGAAAGTGTTTGTTTCTTTTTTTGGGTCAACCCCGCTTTGGTGGGGTATGGGGTTTGTCAAAAAAAAATTTAACCCTTAGACAAAGATGCACAAAGCTACCATTGGTTTTTTATATATTTATATTGGGGTTGTAAAGGAATTGCATTATGTTGGGGAGAATTGTAGGGTTAAAAGAAAGAATCAATACAAATGGGATTGTCACCGCTGCTTTTTTTTCAAAGGCACGGGGCAAATTTGGGAAAAATTTTGGAGAAGGGATTTTAAAAAAAGGGTATTTAAACCAAAAAAAATTGAAAGTGGGAAAACAGAAAGAGCAAGGGGATGAAAAACAAAAAAATTAAGGGAAAGGAAAAAAGTGAAAAGTGTTTTATAAATTTGGGAATGGACTTTTCACCGATAGGTCCAAGAAAAAACAAGGTGAAAACATAGAATTTTTATGAGGGGAAAAAAAGGGGAAAAGGTGCATTGAAGGGATTGTGGGGGACAAAAACATTATCCATGGAGGCCCGTGCAGATATCAAAATTTTGGGAAGGGGAATCAAAAAAGGGTGAGGGGGAGTCACTAACTGATGAGGAAAAAAAGATGGGCAGTGCACCGAGGCATGTGAAGAAAAAGAACTTTATCCATGGAGGCAAAAAAAAAAAAAAGGAGTATATCAGAGTATAGTGGTACCAGCACACTTTTATGGGTGTGAAGCATTGGTTTTAAATGTTGTAGCAAGAAGGAAACTGGAGGAAATGGAGATTTTGTGTCTGAGGGCAATGTGTGGTATGAATATTCAGCAGAGAATTCATAGTTTGGAGATTAGAAGGAAGTGCAAGGTTACTAAAGGTATTATCCAGAGGGATGAAGAGGGGGTTATTGAGGTGGTTGTGACATTTAGAGGATGGTGCAAAATAGGATGACCTGGAGGGTGTATAAATCTGTAGTGGAGATAAGGAGGGGTAGGGGTCACCCTAAGAAATGCTGAAGGGAGAGGATTAAGGAGGTTTTGTGTGAGAGGGGCTCTGACATCCAACAAGCATGTGTGAGTGTGTTAGATATCTGTGAGTGGAGGCAAGTGGTTTTTATGACTTGATGTGCTGTTGGAGTGTGAGCAAGGTAACATGAAGGGATTTAAGGAAACCAGTTAGCCAGACTTGAGTCTTGGAAGTGGGAAGTACAATGCTTGCACTTTGAAGGAGTGGGGATATTTGCAGTCTGGAGGGGCATCTGAACTGTAGTATCAGCATGCCTCTGGTAAGATAGGGATAAGAGTGAATCATGGTGTAAGTGTTTATTTTTTTTTAGGTCGCTCTACCTAGGTAGAAGACAGCTGGTGTGTTAATAAAAAACATAAATTGGAAGGACAAATGATAGCGCATGCATACGAAACTCAAGCATTATGTTTTAAACAAATATTTCATTAACTCACCTGAGCAAGAGAATTTCTGTGTCTAGTATAAAGATCCTTAAGAGTCAGTCCCAAAGCTTTGGCCAGAGAATGTATTATAAGGTGGGACTGGGCAGTTACCATTCTGTTTGAGTGGACTAAACACCGCAGTAACAGCACCAACATTCCTCCTGTGAGTCCCACTGCAGGGCATCTGTAAATTCAGAAATAAACTGCACTTAGGAGAGGAAATTTATAACTTATGTTACGATCTGTCTTGGACCATAGGAATCAACTATATTTCTTAAACAAATTAATAAAAGAACATAGTACAAATACAAAAACAGTGTATTCAAAATAAAATGTACAAGATATAATACAGTATGATTATTATGACATTCGTAGGGAAGTGCTAAACCTGAAGGGGACATACAGCACCCAGGGGATGGAAGGTAATTAAGTCTGATCTGAGGAAAGAGCCCTTCACCAGCACTAGGGCATTCCAATTGAAAGGTACGCTAAAATGTACAATTTAAGCTGTAGCCAGTAAGAGGCAAATGAGGTTACAACACAGTTCAGATATTATGCAAGAATATGTAAATATTGACAGTAAATATACAGCTTAAATGAACACCTTTAGTGTCATGTATTCGTGCAGCAGAGTATATATTTGTGACACACAAAAACCTTACTTCACTAGATGATGCAGAGCTTCAAGAACAACCAGAGGAGATTTACTGGAAGTGCTCCCAGCTGCTTTGCTCTTCTTCATTATATCATTCAGACAAGTAAGAACAACCTCTCCTTCCTTTGAAACACCTGCACTTTTTGAGTCCTAGGAATAAAGTATGACTGATTAGTTAAATTACAGTTTTACAAACTAAGAGCATTTTATTAATTCAAAACAGCAACTCCAATCATTGACTCAACAAGCAGCAGAAAATGAGAACAAGAAACAAAATGCCATAAAATTTATTATACAAAATAAGGTTGACCTCGTTAGACAAAAAGTATAGTAGACCCCCAGTTTTCATAATTAATCTATTCCAGAAGGTTAGCCAAAATCTGAAATGGCCGAAAACCAAAGTGATATTTCCCATAAGAAATAATGTAAATCCAATTAATACGTTCCAGATACCCTAAAATATTAAAAAAAAAAAAAAAATTTTGAAAGAATAACTATAGTTTTACATACAGAAAACAGTGAGAAAGAAATATAAAGCACTAATTTTAATGATAAATGTATATTACGTACCTTTACTGAAGACTCTTGTTGGCATATGGAAGAAAGCGAGGAGGGGAGAGGGAGGAGAGTTTATTGTTTGGAAGGGGAATCCCCCTCTATAAGGACTTCAGGTATCAAAGCCCTCTCTGGGGTTAATTCCCTTCTTTGTCTTTTACTGCCACTAGGACCAGCTTTAGAGTCACTGTACCCCTGTTGCACAAAAAATCTGTCCAGAGAGCTCTGTTTCTGGTGTCTCTGTAAGATTTGCCTAAAATGGGACACGACACTGTCATTGAACATGTTGCAGACATGGCTTGCAACAGTTTTGTTAGGGTGATATGAGCAGGAGCATTGTCCATTACAAGGAGGCACTTAAGTGGCCATTTATTTTCCAGGAGGTATTTCTTCACACTCGGGCCAAACACTTCATTAACCCACTCAATGAAAATTAGCCTCATGACCCGTGCCTTATTGTTAGCCTTCCACATCACACAATTTACTCTTTGTGACACTGTTTTCCTTGAACACTCAGGGATTTTCAGAGTGATACACGAGTAAAGGCTTCACTTTGAAATCCCCACTAGCGTTACCACAAAACAAAAGAGTTAGCCTATCCTGGCAGTGCCTTTTCCTCCTGTGACATAGGTCCTCTTTGGCTTTTTCTTCCAAAAGAGGCCTGTTTTGTCACAAATGAACACTTGTTGAGGGAGGAATCCTTCAGCCTCTACGTACCCCTTGAATTCATCAACAAATGCTTCAGCCACATGTTTGTCTGAACTTGCAGCCTCACCATGCCTTACAACACTGTGTATGCCACTTCGCTTCTTGAATCTGTCGAACCAGCCTTTGCTGGCCTTAAATTCACTAACAGCAGCACTTGTTTCCGGCATTTTCTTTATGAGATACGCATGCAACTGCCTTGCCTTCTTGCATATTATCCCCTCCAAAACATCAGCTCCCGCTAACTGTTTCTCGTTTATCCAAACCAACAACAACTTCTCCACATCCTCGATTGTTTGTGATTTCTGTTTCGTTAGCATATTTACCCCTTTCATAACATCAGGTTTCTTGATTTCTGCTTTCTTCACCAGAATGGAACTAATTGCTGATGTCGACTTGCCATACATCCTGGCGAGCTGGGCCACATGTACGCCACTTTCATATACTGCTATAACTTCTTTCTTGAATTCTATCGTGCTTCTCACCTTCTTTACCTAAGGGCTGGCACTGAACTTTCCTTGGCCCTATGATGGCTTATTTCACAAACGCAATCAATAAACAAGCACCAAAAACAATGGATGAACGTGTGGAGTATTCCTAACTCAAGAGACAGATGCGATACATGTGTGATACATGTGAGAAAGTGTGTTGCCGGCATGTGGACCCGTCTCATACCAATGATTTCCAAGTGGATGGATGAAATCTGGGGGAAAATTTCGCCGAAAAAAGTGCTTGATTTCCGAATTGTACGATTCCCACACCTGCCGAAAACTGGGGATTTGGTAATAACTAATACATATTTTATGAAAAAGAGGATAAATAAATATACAAGGTATGATATAGCACATAATGAAAGTAGTTTGTTAGATTATGTATTGGTGGATAAAAGGTTGGGTAGGCTCCAGGATGTACACATTTATAGAGGGGCAACTGATATATCAAATCATTATTTAGTTGTAGCTACAGTTAGAGTAAGAGGTAGATGGGACAAGAGGAAAAGGGCAACAACAAGTAAAAGAGAGGTGAAAGTGTATAAACTAAGGGAGGAGGAAGTTTGGGTGAGATATAAGCAACTATTGGCAGAAAGGTGGGCTGGTCCAAGTATGAGTAGTGGAAGGGGGGAGGGAGGGTTGAAGAGGGTTGGAATAGTCTTAAAAATGCAGTATTAGAATGTGGGGCAGAAGTTTGTGGCTATATGAGGGTGGGTGCAGGAGGAAAGAGGAGTGATTGATGGAATGATGAAGTAAAGGGTGTGATAAAAGAGAAAAAGGTAGCTTATGAGAGATTTTAACAAAGCAGAAGTGTTATAAGAAGAGTAGAGTATATGGAGAGTAAAAGTAAGGTGAAGAGAGTGGTGAGAAAGTGCAAAAGGAGAGCAGATGATAAGAGTGGGAGAGGCACTTTCAAGAAATTTTAGTGAAAATAAGGAAAACTTTTGGAGTTAAACAAGTTAAGAAAGCCTAGGGAACGAATGGATTTGTCAGTTAAAAACAGAGTAGGGGAGTTAGTAGATGGAGAGATGAAGGTATTGGGTAGACAGTGAAAATATTTTGAGGAACTTTTAAATGTTGACGAAGGAAGGGAGGCGGTAATTTCATGCACTGGTCAGGGAGGTATACCATCTTTTAGGAGTGAAGAAGAGCAGGATGCGAGTGTGGGGAGGTGCGTGAGGCATTACATAGAATGAAAGGGGGTAAAGCAGCTGGAGCTGACGGGATCATGACAGAAATGTTAAAAGCAGGGGAAGATATAGTGTTGGAGTGGTTGGTATTTTTGTTTAATAAATGTATGAAAAGGTTGGAAGGAAGGGGTAAGGGAGGTTTTGTGGGCGAGGGGCTTGGACTTCCAGCAGGCATGCATGGGCATGTTCGATAGGAGTGAATGGAGACGAATGGTATTTGGGACCTGACGATCTGTTGGAGTGTGAGCAGGGTAACATTTAGTGAAGGGACTCAGGGAAACCGGTTATTTTTATATAGCTGGACTTGAGTCCTGGAAATGGGAAGTACAATGCCTGCACTCTAAAGGAAGAGTTTTGGGATATTAGCAGTTTGGAGGGATATGTTGTGTATCTTTATACGTATATGCTTCTAAGCTGTTGTATTCTGAGCACCTCTGGAAAAACAGTGATTATGTGTGAGTGAGGTGAAAGTGTTGAATGATGATGCAAGTATTTTCTTTTGGGGGATTTTCTTTCTTTTTGGGTGACCCTACCTCGGTGGGAGACAGCCGACTTGTTAAAAAAAAATTCATGCTTATTTAATTTTTTTTTTTTTTCAACAAGTCGGCCGTCTCCCACCGAGGCAGGGTGACCCAAAAAAAGAAAGAAAATCCCCAAAAAGAAAATACTTTCATCATCATTCAACACTTTCACCACACTCGCACATTATCACTGTTTTTGCAGAGGTGCTCAGAATACAACAGTCTAGAAGCATACACATATAAAGATACACAACATATCCCTCCAAACTGCCAATATCCCAAACCCCTCCTTTAAAGTGCAGGCATTGTACTTCCCATTTCCAGGACTCAAGTCCGACTATATGAAAATAACCGGTTTCCCTGAATCCCTTCACTAAATATTACCCTGCTCACACTCCAACAGATCGTCAGGTCCCAAGTACCATTCGTCTCCATTCACTCCTATCTAACACGCTCATGCACGCTTGCTGGAAGTCCAAGCCCCTTGCCCACAAAACCTCCTTTACCCCTCTCTCCAACCCTTTCGAGGACGACCCCTACCCCGCCTTCCTTCCCCTATAGATTTATATGTTTTCCATGTCATTCTACTTTGATCCATTCTCTCTAAATGACCAAACCACCTCAACAACCCCTCTTCTGCCCTCTGACTAATACTTTTATTAACTCCACACCTTCTCCTAATTTCCACACTCCGAATTTTCTGCATAATATTTACACCACACATTGCCCTTAAACAGGACATCTCCACTGCCTCCAACCGTCTCCTCGCTGTTGCATTTACCACCCAAGCTTCACACCCATATAAGAGTGTTGGTACTACTATACTTTCATACATTCCCTTCTTTGCCTCCATAGATAACGTTTTTTGACTCCACATATACCTCAATGCACCACTCACCTTTTTTCCCTCATCAATTCTATGATTAACCTCATCCTTCATAAATCCATCCGCCGACACGTCAACTCCCAAGTATCTGAAAACATTCACTTCTTCCATACTCCTCCTCCCCAATTTGATATCCAATTTTTCTTTATATAAATCATTTGACACCCTCATCACCTTACTCTTTTCTATGTTCACTTTCAACTTTCTACCTTTACACACATTCCCAAACTCATCCACTAACCTTTGCAATTTTTCTTTAGAATCTCCCATAAGCACAGTATCATCAGCAAAAAGTAACTGTGTCAATTCCCATTTTGAATTTGATTCCCCAAAATTGAATCCCACCCCTCTCCCGAACACCCTAACATTTACTTCCTTTACAACCCCATCTATAAATATATTAAACAACCATGGTGACATTACACATCCCTGTCTAAGACCTACTTTTACCGGGAAGTAGTCTCCCTCTCTTCTACACACCCTAACCTGAGCCTCACTATTCTCATAAAAACTCTTTACAGCATTTAATAACTTACCACCTATTCCATATACTTGCAACATCTGCCACATTGCTCCTCTATCCACTCTATCATATGCCTTTTCTAAATCCATAAATGCAATAAAAACTTCCCTACCTTTATCTAAATACTGTTCACATATATGCTTCAATGTAAACACCTGATCTACACATCCCCTACCCACTCTGAAACCTCCTTGCTCATCCGCAATCCTACATTCTGTCTCCTCTAATTCTTTCAATTATAACCCTACCGTACACTTTTCCTGGTATACTCAGTAAGCTTATTTAATTATGTTCATGAAAAAGCAGTAAACCCAGTAATGATAGACAGTGATGAAATTTTGATGAACAAGGAAATATTCTCACCATTGAAACCAAAGATAAAGCTACATTCTTCCTGTGCTTCAGAGATCATAGTCTTCAAAAGTACAATCAATAGAATCTTTACAGTTTTAAAAGTGTACAAATAACATTCCTGAAAAAATAAATAAAAACTCATAAAATGAAAGGATGAAACAAAATTGTTACCTGATTTGAAGTACTCTGACTCTGGGAGCTAACAAGAATTGGAAGCTGTTTGCAGATGGCACTCACTACAGCTTTCTCTTGATGAGTGAGCAGTGACAGGTACTGGTTAAGCATTTGACTGTTAATTGCTGTATGAGAGACAACTGCTGGGAGGGCATCCACCACTGCCATTACAATATTGGTCTCTGTATGAGTTAACAATTCCAAGAACTGTGATACCAGTGTAGGATCAACACAGTGAGCATTTAACTTTGTGTTGGAGTTTGGGTCATTACAGACCTTACAAGTTAAAACACAGAGCTTCTTGCTGTCCTCTTCATCCCTGTAAATGAATGAAAATAAAAAGACAACAATGCTTGATATTTTACACTATAATCAGAAAAATGCAAATTAAAACTTAATCTTTGCCATGAGTGAACATGATAACAAACAAGAAAAGTACTAACACATACAAGCAAGGAGAGTCACCCCTACCATACAAATAAGGAGAGTCACCCCTACCATACAAATAAGGAGAGTCACCCCTACCATACAAATAAGGAGAGTCACCCCTACCATACAAGCAAGAAAGACAACCCCCACCATACAGGCAAGGAGTCACCCCTACCATACAGGCAAGAAAGACAACCCCCACCATACAGGCAAGGAGTCACCCCTACCATACAGGCAAGAAAGACAGCACCACCATATGGGCAGGAAAGACAGCACTACCATACAGACAGGAAAGTCACACCAACCATACAGACAGGAAAGTCACACCAACCATACAGGCAGGAAAGTCGCACCTACCACACAGGCAGGAAAGTCATGCTTACATTACAAGGAGGAAAGTCAACCCTACTCTAAAGAAAGGAAAGTCAACCCTACTCTAAAGAAAGGAAAGATGAACATATACTTTCACACTATCATTATTTCACAGGAGATTCAAATCATATATTTCACTGAAAGCACAACAAGGTAATGATCAGTAGTCAAGAAGCAGCCACAGAAAAAATAAAGCAAAGTCAAATCACCTGTTATACTTTAAAGTTGTTAAGTTGAGAAGGGCACAAAGCAGATGACTGAGTGACTTTGCACCAGCATGGATTACTTGCACATCAGGGGAATGTAGAACCAAACCAATAACTTCTCCCACCAGCTGCTGACCACTTGCAGAGCCCAGGTGATGAACCATCTGTCAGGAATCAATGATATACATAATAAAGTTGAACATTGTTTAAATAACACTGGTCTACAGCAAAAATGCTCTGGAAGTAAAACTAGTCATTCTTAACCAATTTTTGGTCACTAAATATGAAATTAATGCTTAAAATTGCAAAATGGCTTTATTTATGAAGATACGAATTCAGACTGACTGTTATCATCTCTGATGTGAGAAGGGAGGAGGGTAAATAAACTGTACAGGGGAAAGGTTTTTGATTTAAACCCACAATGCCCAATAGCTTAAACCATGAATACAGTTTCCTATAGCCACAACGTATAATTTTTAAAAAATACATACAATTTCCTTTGACAAAAAAAAAAAAAAAAAAAAAATCCTTTGACCAATTGATTGTCATTATGATAATAACAGTTTTAAGAACCCAAAAACCTATAAAGTAAAATATCTCTTTCCACTGAAGCACAAAACTGTTCAAAATTTGTACACCAGTGTAATGAAACAGCAACTTAATGATGTGAAAATTACATAAGTGTCTTATTTCCATTAATCCAATATCATATATGTTTTGAAACATGAAATTTCATGAAAAATCTTAAACATGGTAATAAAGTATAGAAGTACAAAACAACAAACAAGATGCAACTAAGACACTTGTGCAACACAGAGACTTTTTTTTTTTTTTTTTTTTTTTTTAAGAAAAAATTTCACTCCTAGAAGCTTGTCAATTCAACAAGAAAAATAAGACATTATGAGCATATACTGTATATGGAAAAAGAAGTCATGTGTGGTCAGCATTAGGTCAATGACATGTTAGTCTGGTCACCTGACAGCGGTGTATTGCCATAGTAGCACCAGGTTAGCCAACACATATGAAATATTAAAACTACTGGAGATCTGGACTACAATATTAGAAATGATGACCAATGCAGCCTCAAGCTGACAACTTTTTCTGCAGACAGCACTCTTTGATTATAAGCCTGGCTTCTCTCCAGTTCAAAAGATGACCATTCTTGTGATATACCTGTCACCAGTTTGGAGAGTCTTCTTGCACCACAACCCCAGCCTGGGGCCAGGCTTTTCTGTTGCTTGTCTGCTCAACCAGGCTGTTACTATTGGTGGTCCACTGGCCAACATATCCATCATTGTCTAGTTGATCCATTACTTGGTGGAAACAGTGATTGAATTGCCTCTTGAAGACTTCCATGCTTGTTTTTGCAATATTTCTGATACCTGCTGGAAGCAGTTGAATAGTTGTTGCCCAAACATGTTAATACAGTGGTCTCTTATTGTGACCATGGAGTCACTGCTTTTCACTTGGTTTATTTTACACTTTTCATATCTCTCACTCGAATAAGTTGTTACTGTAGTGTGTACGTTTGGGACCAGGCCCTCAAGTACTTTCTATGTACATATTCTCATGTCTCTCTCTCTCCTCTGCTCTGCTGTGCTCCAGAGCAGAGGAACTTTGAGAAATTCCCAGTAGTTGAAATGTTTTACTGGCTCCTTGAAGGCAGTAAATGATAGCTGTATCTGCTCCAACTCTGATATCTCTCCTGCCTAGAATGGAGCCATCAACAGTAAGCAGTACTCTAAGTGAGAGAGCACAAGTGATTTAAAGAGTACCACAAATTCACACTATTTCCCTTGTTTTGAAAGATCTAATCATCCACTTTGTTATTTTGTGTCTTTCAGAACTTTTGCTTATAGCTGTGTTGTTTCAGATTTTGGGTCCTTTACTCATGCAGGTTGAGCCACACATGTTGAACATTAAAGAGATATTATTTCTATTGTTTTGTCTATGAAATCTATTGCACTCCAGAAACTGTTATAGCTCATTCAATTTTTTTAGCTTCATTCAATTGTTATCTTGCCAGAAGTGTGCTGGCATCAGAATTCAGATCACCCTGTAACCCTTCAGAGTGCAAGCACTGCCCTTTCTACTTTAAATCTGGCTAATTATCCTCACTGTATTTTTGGCAGTTCACTGACATTTCTTGTTATTATTATGATGATGTGTGTTTATTGCTACTACCAACCTACTAAATATCTACAAGCCATAGTTATGTTTAATATCTTTTAAACTAAAAGAAGAAAATGAAGCAAAGAATACTGTACTAACCACTGGAAACCAGCATGCTATCTCTAACATAACTGGAGGGTATCTTTCACTGATAGCTGCACGAATAACATGGCACCGCCATCTTGGAGCCACACTTTCTGATGTGATGGCCACAATAGCCATACTCTTCGATTTTATTCTGCTATCTGCAATCAATCACAAACAATACATAATGTGTGTCGGCTATATGATATATTGATCAATCCTCTAATGCCTCAATTTCTTGAGTAACTTGAACTCTTATCACATATTAATCATTTTGGAGGAGCAATACTTATATAGAGTACAAAAAAGAATTCTACATGATAGTTTAGCTAACACATGTGAAGTAAATGGCATTTGTTTGTAATAAGAAAAGTGTGTGAAGTGAATGATGCAAAGCAACCAGCATTTGTTTGTGATATAAAAAGAACAAGGTTAACCATAGAAACCATACCCTGGCCGGGATTGAACCCGCAGTCAGAGTCTCAAAACTCCAGACCGTCGCGTTAGCCACTAGACCAGCTAGCCACAATAAGATTCGTCCAACTAGGTATATTTCTACACCATAGGAAGGTTAGCATAGGCACCACTGTGACCACAAATGCAAGTTTTTACAGACAAATCTCCAGCTAGCATGGCCGTGACGAACTCTAGCTCAAGTCCCCTCACTGCCGTCAACATGACTCACGAAATCGTAATGATACGATTGCAAACAAACCATACCCCGGCCGGGATTGAACCCACGGGCAGAGAGTCTCAAAACTCCAGACCGTCGCATTAGCCACTAGAAATATACCTAGATGGACGAATCTTATTGTGGCTAGCTGGTCTAGTGGCTAACGCGACGGTCTGGAGTTTTGAGACTCTCTGACCGCGGGTTCAATCCCGGCCGAGGTATGGTTTGTTTGCAATCGTGTCATTACGATTTCGTGAGTCATGTTAACCATAGAACTGATGAAGGAAAACAGGTGAGTGGTGCTTTGAAGTATCTGTGGAGACAAAAAACATTATTCATGGAGGCAAAGAAGTGAATGTACAAGAGTATAGTGCTATCAACACTCTCATAAGGGTGTGAAGCATGAGTTGTAAATGCTGCAGCAAGGAGGAGGCTGGAGGCAGTGAAGATGTCATGTCCAAGGGCAATGTGTGGTATAAATATTATGCAGAGAATTCATAGTGTGGAAATTAGGAGGAGGTGTGGAGTTACTAAAAGTATTAGTCAGAGGGCTGAAGAGGGGCTGTTGAGGTGGTCTGGTAATTTAGAGAGGATGGAACAAAGTAGAATGACTTGGAGAGCGTATAAATCTGTAGAGGAAGGAAGGCGGGGTAGGGGTCGTCCTAGGAAAGGTTGGAGGGAGGGGGTAAAGGAGGTTTTGTGGATGAGGGGCTTGGACTTCCAGTAAGTATGCGTGAGCATGTTAGATAGGAGTGAATGGAGACAAATGGTTTTTGGGACCTGGTAAGTTGTTGGGATGTGAGCAAGGTAATATTTTGTGAAGGGATTCAGGGGAAACTGGTTAGCCGGACTTGAATCCTGGAGGTGGGAAGTACAATGCCTGCACTTTAAAGGAGGGGTTTGGGATATTGGCGGTTTAGTGACATCTAAAGCTGTCGTATCTGAGCGCCTCTGCAAGACAGTGATTGTGTACAAATGAGGGTGAAAGTGTTGCATGATGATGAAAGTTTTTTCTTTCTTTTTGGGTCACCCTGCCTCAGTGGGAAATGGCCAACATGTTAAAAAAAAATCTAGTAGTTAACGAAGCAAAAATAACTGATCTTGAAACTATACTGGGTTATGAAATAAAAACAGATGAAATTAACCAGAGGAGGATCTCAGCACCAAGCAAACAGAAGCAGTCATCCAGGCAAACAGATGTAATGAAGCAACTACAAATTAGTGATTCTGTTATCATGAAAAACTGTCTTTTCTTCAGAAGAAGCGGAAGTAAAAAATGCTTTAACATGGTGTATGATGTTTGAAAAACTAGCTTATATACAGCATGGACCCTGAATGCACTAGAGAAACATACAGAACTGGCAAACAAGGGGTTGGTGCCACACGGCCAATTATAAGGGTTCATGCAAGAATTAATTAACACGTCACCCAGCTTCTCTGTCAGGGAACGTCCTTTTTTTTTTTATTAACACATCGGCCGATTCCCACCAAGGTAGGGTGGCCCGAAAAAGAAAAACTTTCATCATCATTCACTCCATCACTGTCTTGTTAGAGGGGTGCTTTACACTACAGTTATAAAACTGCAACATTAACACCTCTCCTTCAGAGTGTAGACACTTCACTTCCCATCTCCAGGACTCAAGTCCGGCCTGCCGGTTTCCCTGAATCCCTTCATAAATGTAACTTTGCTCACACTCCAACAGCATGTCAAGTATTAAAAACCATTTGTCTCCATTCACTCCTCTCAAATACGCTCACGCACGCTTGCTGGAAGTCCAAGCCGCTCACACACAAAACCTCCTTTACCCCCTCCCTCCAACCCTTCCTAGGCCGACACCTACACCAATTTCCCTCTGCTACAAGTCCTGTTATCAATCATTAAGATTAGTCCAACACTGATGACCTGTAGGTCATCAGTGTTGGGCTTTTTTCACAACCAATGACTCTGAGCCTTCATCTGGCTGAAAGCCACGAGAAGGCTTGTTAAACTTCCATGGTAACCTGACCCAATATAGCCTCTCCTCACTTACCGACATCCTCGTTTACCGACAACTCGGAGTTATGATGGGCTCTCTGATGAGCTGCTATTGTATACTGTACGAGAACTTGGGTCACGAATGGGCAGTGCAGCATCTCAGCGTCAAGCATCTAAAACTCCTTCCTATATCCACTCAGTACACTAGCTTTCACAGTCTCCAAGACTACATATTTGTACAAATTTCCTGTTGTTTTTTCTCTTGGAAGAGGAAAAAACAAGAGGAAAATGGAAGAAGTATAAAAGAAGTTCATTGTAAAGGGGTTAGTGATGCACCTCAGCATCAAGCAATCTCTAAGACTACGTATTTCATCTATAAATTTGTACTTTATTGTGCATCTCGTTGTAGAAGATAGAGTTAGAAGTACAACAGCACTTGGAAGAGGAAAAGCAAAAGGAAAATGGAAGAAGTACAAAAGAAGTTCACAGTAAAGGGGTTAGCTGGTGTGTTTGTATGTGTGTTTAGATTCTCGGTGTATCGTGGCAGCTTAAGAAATTATTAAAATTTGTGAACAAGGTATGTTAATGGCAATAATAATAACAATAATAACAATAATAATAATAATAATAATAATAATAATAATAATAATAATAAAATAATAATAATAATAAATAATAATCACTCTAGAGTGCTTTCAACAGCCACCAAACCTATATATATATATAATACGAAATACTTATGACATTTAATGCGCTCCAGATCGATTATTTATTATTATTATTATTATTATTATAAATTATTATTATTATTATTATAAATTATTTTTTTTTTTCAACAAGTCGGCCGTCTCCCACCAAGGCAGGGTGACCCACCGAGGCAGGGTGACCCACCGAGGCAGGGTGACCCAAAAAAGAAAGAAAATCCCCAAAAAGAAAATACTTTCATCATCATTCAAACTTTCACCACACTCACACATTATCACTGCTTTTGCAGAGGTGCTCAGAATATAACAGTTTAGAAGCATATACGTATAGAGATACACAACATATCCCTCCAAACTGCCAATATCCCAAACCCCTCCTTTAAAGTGCAGGCATTGTACTTCCCATTTCCAGGACTCAAGTCCGACTATATGAAAATAACCGGTTTCCCTGAATCCCTTCACTAAATATTACCCTACTCACACTCCAACAGATCGTCAGGTCCCAAGTATCATTCGTCTCCATTCACTCCTATCTAACACGCTCATGCACGCTTGCTGGAAGTCCAAGCCCCTTGCCCACAAAACCTCCTTTACCCCCTCTTTCCAACCCTTTCGAGGACGACCCCTACCCCTCCTTCCTTTCCCTATAGATTTATATGCTTTCCATGTCATTCTACTTTGATCCATTCTCTCTAAATGACCAAACCACCTCAACAACCCCTCTTCTGCCCTCTGACTAATGCTTTTATTAACTCCACACCTTCTCCTAATTTCCACACTCCGAATTTTCTGCATAATATTTATTATTATTATTATTAAATTATTAAATAATATTAAATAAAATATTATTATTATTATTAAATAATAAATGCTATTTTTGCATTTTTTCTTATGACAAGAATGATCTAAGAGCGTTTTCCCTGATGTAAACAAAGTTCTCTTTCATTATAGACCAGAGGTACAGACGAGAAAACATATCTAGCTTAAGATCTTATCCCAGAGTGGCAGCCTCTGCCTTTACCCCACTCACATAATTTAGCATATATCATTCATTTTAGCACCTTTATGACAGTTCAAGGGTATTTATCGTGTTTCTGATATCAATTTGGAATAAATGTAATAGATAGATAACCTTTATTACTAATATTAGTGTAATTACACATTTTTTTAGCACCACTGCTAACATCCGACAACCATGATGACTCATCAGATACTGAATGCTACTGCTCACCTCTCCCTCTCTCATTTAGCTCCTCCCACTTCTTAACGATGTTAGATGATGAATTTAATGTATTAAACAGAAACATTAAAAAAAAAAATTAGAAAATCAGAAAAAATTCTGAAAATTCACTACATGTTCAGATGTACATTACTCACCGAGTCATAAAAATAATTTTTGTAAAATGACTAATTCTTTGTGGAAACATGGTACTAAGATGATACTTTTGCCAAAATGTTGCCAGATTCTTAAGCTATTTTTTCTGCAAGCTTAACTCGTTGTATGTGTATTTAACTTTTGTATTGTTTTCTGTAATATACAAGAGTTATGCAAATTAAAATACAGTTATCAAGTTGGAGTTTCATTTTTATTTGATTTTTTCTAATCTTTCTTTCTTTCTTTCAACGCACCAGCTGTATCCCACCGAGGCGGGGTGGCCCAAAAGGAAAAACGAAAGTTTCTCCTTTTACATTTAGTAATATACACAGGAGAAGGGGTTACTAGCCCCTTGCTCCCGGCATTTTAGTCGCCTCTTACGACACGCATGGCTTACCATCTGGCATCATTACAAAGTGGGCAGAGCTACAGCAGAGGGAGAAGGAGCAGTGTGTCAGTAACTCATGATTCCTCATGATGCTTCACCCCACCATAAAAGTATTGAATAGTTATACTATTACTATCATATTTATTACAGAATAATATTAGGTATGACATATATAATGTAGAAGTATGATAAAGATGCCCAAATTAATAAAAACTGACATTATATAGAGAAGTATTGAAGGGTGGAGGGTGGGGAGGGATAAAAAAAAAAAAAAGTGACCAAGAAAACATTACATGCTTGAAGGGTAACTATAGAAGATCACTTTTATCCTATGCAAAGGCTAAAAAAATTCCAATTTTGTGGAAAAAAACTTCCCAAGTAATCAGCAATGCATGTGTTTCCTGGAATATCTCGGAAGTAAGTCATTGACCTATTTCGTGTTGTATTACCATTAATAATAAACACACTGAAAGGAATTTCCCAGCAAACATATGGGTGGTGATACTTTTGAAGTGTCAGCGACGAAATCGTTTACGATGGGGGTCTTAGGCCCTTAACTCTTAAACTGTCCAAACAAATCTACGTTCACATGCGTAGTGCTCCCAAAGTAGATCTACGTTTTTTACATATTTTCAAATACATACTATAACAAAAAAAAAAAATGTAGATCAAAGTTTTTTACACATTTTCAAATGTAAAAAAAAAACAGGTCTATGGTTTTTTACATACTTTCAAATGTTGGAAAAACGTAGATCTACGTTTGGACAGTTTAAGGGTTAACTCTATCGTTACGTGAAGAGAGGCTGTACTATCTATCCTGGCACTCGACGTGTCGAGATACTGGCTGAAAGTCTTGGCCTCCTCTTGACTGGGCTTGTTGGCATCAATGCCTATATTATCCAGGCTCCATAACTTATCCAATGGCTCTGTCCTCTCCTCTAACATAAAAAATTTTTGTTGAGGGATGTGGTTAGCGGTGATTCTGGTCACCAAGACACTTTCCACTACATCAGGCTTGCAAGTATTACCTCCTTTACTACCAGGGTGTGGGGTGGGCCAAAAATCATGCGACCACCTACAATGGTCAGCAAAAAAAAAAAAAATTTTTTTAACACCCTGGTTGTTTCTTGTCACTTTACGATGATTTCCACTTTATAGCAATAACCTGGAACCTAACTCGCTGTAAAACTAGTGCCCTCCTGTCCAGGTACAGTACAATTATTTCCATTTCACCATCCACCCAATTTTTTATTTATAGATTTCTTGTATGACAGTTTTTTAAACCTCTTTTATAATAATTTCTCCAAAATATATATTCCATAATCTTGCTACCTCTAATTCAATAGCGAATACTTTTCTCCATTACTAGATCACTTCCCATTATTACTGTAAATCATCTGTTATCTGACCCAGTCGGGGAAGAATGTTTGCCAGATTTCCAGAATTAGTTGATCCCATTTTCTTATGATCTCTCTATTTTACACATTTCTTGTTTTGCATTATCTGAAGAAGACCACTGGATATTGCTGGAAGAAAAGTAAATTGACTGTCAGATAACTGATGTGCTACTGTATTATATTTGTGAGGAAAGCTAAACTTGTAGCGGTCATGCAGTATCTGAGGACTAGGAGGTAAGCAAGTTTGATCCAAGGAAGAGAAAAGTAACTCTAATTCTTCAATCAAGAGCCCTTAACCAGCATCACGGCAACATCCACTACCATGAAGGAATAATTTCATAATAATTCTTCCAAAAAATACAAAAATATAAAACAACAAACATACCATTACACCACTTCAACTTTGATGCAGCGACAATAAACTCTTTGGTATTATGAGGCTTGAGGTCCATGAGGCTCACTTCTGAAGCTAGCCATGGTAAGGTTGCTAGTGCTAGCCAGGAGTGACTAATGTGTGTTTTCAGGTTGAGAGGCTCCTCAAGAATATTTGATGTCCAAGCAAAATTCCACAAGAGTTCCATCATTCCAGTCACCTGAATTTATGTTAAATCTTTACAATGATTTTTATGCCAGTAAGAAATGGCCATTCTTGCAATATTAATTTATTTAAATAATGCTAAATAATATATGCATACACAAAAGTAAAGAATCAGTCAATTCACATAATTATTATCCACTAACATTATATTTATTAAATCATTAGAATACAGTGACTGCTCTCACCAGCTCGACATTATCTGTGCTTGTCATGATGGAAACTATACACTCGGTTGCTGTTATGAGCCAGGAATCAGGAAAGAACTGAAGAGAAACCTGGGAATACACAAGGATACATTAGTAACAAATTGCTCAAAGTTCTCTCAATGTTAATATTTCATTGTGTCATGTGTTCTATGTGTATATCAAGAAGCATTCTAAACATTATCGATTAATAAAAAAAAACACTATAAAACCAAAAATAATTTAATGGTAATGCTGTTCAATACAGCTATCATCTAATAATAAGCCTTATGCCAAGAACATAAAAATAAGCAAATCTGTAAGGTCAAAGACTCAGGTCTAAGTCTTTACAACTGTTTTAATCCTTTCGGGTTCCATCCATGTGTCGTAGAACTACGTGATGAGCTCAGCTCGCTCAGATAAGCTGTGAGCAGTAAATTTTGGCATAGATATGAGAAAATGGGTCTATGTGTTGCACCATATTAAAAATATCCTGCCCCATGCAGTGCATGATAGGAAAAGCAAAACTGTTACTGTGTGTGTTTGTGGTTTAAAATATCAATGTTGTGGCGTATTTTCAGATGGTTTTATTCTCAATTTCTTGGCTTCATTTGATAGAATGGAAGATACTATATTACAGAAACTGAGATAGTTTTGATTCATTTCAGGACTGGGAGTAGCTTAAAATTAAGCTCAAAGTAGCGGAAATATTTGATTTTTGTCAATATTCTAGAGGACACTAATCCCGTCACTTGTCAACTGTGTGTCCAACTGGCTGGTCTAATGTGTGTTCATGAATGAGCTGACATTATTTATACAATTTTTACAATAAGACAGTAGTCTGCATAAATCTTCTATGTATTTTTTTGTGTAAATAAAAATTCAGACCCTATTTTTAAATTGGAATTTTTTTAATTGAATGTGAAATTGGCCAAGTTACTGATTTCTGATCCCTTTATTGCATAGTTAAAAGAGTTAAATGGGCAGTTTCTTGTACTCAATCAATAGAATGGAAGGCATACTAGCGAAATAGCTAAGAGTTCGGTTGACTGGAACAATGGAATTGGCCTAATATAGGACTCAAAGTGGATGAAATCACCAATGCATACATATCCTTAAGACCACTAACTTTGCGAAAGCATAATTCTGTAAGTTTTCCATCAAATTTACTTTTGGTGTCATTACTTTCAGAAAAAGATTCTCCATCATTTCATAAGAAAAAATCATTGTCTTGGGGGCAGGGGAGGATTTTTGGATCCTGAGAACAAGTTTCACATTGGGGGTCTGGACCCTTTAAAGGTTAAAACACTAATTGCAAATATGAATTAGTAAAAATGAATAAAGTTGTTAGGTGTCGAGAACATTTATTCCCTCTATTGTTAAGGTGTCTGCCACCTAGTTTCAATCTGATTATGCTTGAAAAATTTCCACCATTACCTTCCATTTTCATACAAGGTATAACTGTCCCTTAACAATGAAAAAATTCCGATTATTACTCCAGGATCTATTTTAATCTATATGGAAGATGGTTATTATTCTGTAAGTCACCTTCACTCTTCCTTATTTACTTACTACATATATAGCTTTGAATTTCCAAAAAATTCGGATTCAATTTTGTTTTTCATCTAGTCACCATCTACTTTTTCACTAATCTGTCACATTCTTTATATTCTCTCTTAGATCTTGTTAATTTCACCAGATAAATTTCTTTTCATTTTTCTTATAGTGACTACTTCAGTGTTTACTGAAGTGTTACATGAGACTTAATGAAATGTAAATGACTCTTATCTTCTCAGCCATATTTGATATGAAGCTGCAGTGACAACATAAGCATACAGTACATATAAGTGAGGAATAAAAGTCAAAAAATTGTGGCTGGTACAATTCACAAATAACCTGTACTGAGGAGAGGAATCTTCTCTCATCTTTCTAAGCCTCTAAGATAGTTACTACTTCTTGTGCTGTTGCATGTAATAATTACCAAGATTATAAGTCAAATGCAACATTTTACAGGCTCCCAAAGATTAAAGATGAAAATTATTTGTGTGTGTGAGGTGGAAAGACAGTAAACAAAAAAATTACCATCAAGGTAAGTGCTTTGATGCTCATAATGAGAACTTGATTCAAGGATATAGAACAGTCCTCCATTTCCTTAGATCAAACCTGATTATCTCCCATTTTCCAGGTTAAGCACTTACCATGACTTATGGAAAAACAGATTGAATGATTGATGATGAATATGTTTTCTTCTTTGGGTCACCCTGTCTTGGCAGAAAACATCCACAAAGTTAAAAAAATACAAATTACTTTTAAAGGGTGATGCTTTATTAATTAGGTAACAATAATTGTGTTGTGTCATCAAAGCATCATGATTTGGTTATAAATGTAGCTTCAGTTAACCCACATTTGGGGAATCAAATCTTCATTAACAGATGACAGATAATTATTTATAGGGTATTTAGTGGTGGGTGCTTGACATTGCTAATATTTACTATTATTCAGTCTCAGGTGTCGATTAGTGAGGCGGTGCAACATGTCTTGGAAAAAGATACCTATAACAGAAGCGGACTTTTCAGTATATATGATGTTTCACTTGCATGAGGCTTTATCAAGTACCAGATACAGCCTTCATAGGTGAAACTTAGTATTTAAGAAAATATCTGCTCTGGTTACAAAGGTGTCCCTCACTTTATAGGGGTTCACATTCTGCAAATTCACTATTAAGCTACAGTATTCCCAATTTCTATCGGTAAATCTTTATATGTAATATACTGTTGCCAAGTGCGATCAGTATGGTTTGCAAAGTGCATTTGTGCATAAGTGACTATGGCCTGCCTGAGTAAAGTACATCTTTCCAGTGCCCAGAACTTATTTATAGCATAAAAGGAGGGACACCAGAATGTGTTTTTCCCATTCAGCCTCAGGTACTAGCCACTGACACAGCCTTGTTACTCAGACCCATGGTACTGGTATGTCATGGCTTTTATGTAGGCCCTCACATCCTTGCCAGTGTAGCAAGGAGATGTTATTCAACACATTAACAGTATAAATAAAAAATTTATCACATGAATCATCAACACAAGTTCGAACAGGGTCATGTCAAATATGGCTGACAAACAAATCAGATGACTTTAGTTACATGGCAGCAAAACTTCACCATCTATGTATTCCTCCACATATTGTGTTATTACAATTTCATACCATCTGCCTTGTACCATCTGCCAATTTCTTGCACATACAACTTTTGCTATTCTCATAGCACTATTAATAAAATGTCATATAGTGTTTTTATTTCCAACCACTTTCATGTAGCTTTACAAAAAAGAACAAAAGTACAATATTAACCTCAGATGGTGGAGTCCTGGAAGCTACCCATGCAGGAGTTGAAATAATTTCACAAGCAGCTTGCAGTTGCTCAGGCAATGGGTTACTGGTTTCAGACCATTCTTCAAGAGAGGCACTCAGCTTCTGCAAGGCTAGTTTCCACCACTTGCTAAGGTTCACAACGCTTATAGGAGGCTTTGCCAAATCCCTGTAAAAAAAAAAAAAAAAAAAAAAAAATTATTTATAATTCTTCTTTCAACAAACTGGCCATATCCACTGAGGCAGGGTGGCCCAAAAGGAAGAAAGATAGCTTCTCCTTTTAAATTTAGTAATATATAGTGGAGAAGGGGGTTACCAGTCCCTTGCTCCTGACATTTTAGTTGCTTCTTAAAACAAACATGGCTGACAGAAGAATTTTGTTCCACTTTCCCCGTGGAGATAAGCGAAAATAAACAAGAACAAGAAATAGTAAGAAAACCCAGAGGGGTGTGTATATTTTTTTTTTTTTTTCAACAAGTCGGCCGTCTCCCACCGAGGCAGGGTGACCCAAAAAAGAAAGAAAATCCCCAAAAAGAAAATGCTTTCATCATCATTCAACACTTTCACCACTCACACATTATCACTGTTTTTGCAGAGGTGCTCAGAATACAACAGCTTAGAAGCATATACGTATAAAGATACACAAACATATCCCTCCAAACTGCCAATATCCCAAACCCTCCTTTCAAGTGCAGGCATTGTACTTCCCCTTTTTTAGGACTCAAGTCCAACTATAAAAAATAACCGGTTTCCTGAATCCCTTCACTAAATATTACCCTGCTCACACTCCAACAGATTATCATTCGTCTCCATTCACTCCTATCTAACACGCTCACGCACGCTTGCTGGAAGTCCAAGCCCCTCGCCCACAAAACCTCCTTTACCCCCTCTCTCCAACCCTTTTGAAGACGACCCTACCCCTCCTTCCTTCCCCTATAGATTTATATGCTTTCCATGTCATTCTACTTTGATCCATTCTCTCTAAATGACCAAATCACCTCAACAACCCCTCTTCTGCCCTCTGACTAATGCTTTTTATTAACTCCACACCTTCTCCTAATTTCCACACTCCGAATTTTCTGCATAATATTTACACCACACATTGCCCTTAGACAGGACATCTCCACTGCCTCCAACCGTCTCCTCGCTGCTGCATTTACCACCCAAGCTTCACATCCATATAAGAGTGTTGGTACCACTATACTTTCATAACATTCCCTTCTTTGCCTCCATAGATAACGTTTTTTGACTCCACATATACCTCAACGCACCACTCACCTTTTTTCCCTCATCAATTCTATGATTAACCTCATCCTTCATAAATCCATCCGCCGACACGTCAACTCCCAAGTATCTGAAAACATTCACTTCTTCCATACTCCTCCTCCCCAATTTGATATCCAATTTTTCTTTATCTAAATCATTTGATACCCTCATCACCTTACTCTTTTCTATGTTCACTTTCAACTTTCTACCTTTACACACATTCTCAAACTCATCCACTAACCTTTGCAATTTTTCTTTAGAATCTCCCATAAGCACAGTATCATCAGCAAAAAGTAACTGTGTCAATTCCCATTTTGAATTTGATTCCCTATAATTTAATACCACCCATCTCCCGAACACCCTAGCATTTACTTCTTTTACAACCCCATCTATACATATATTAAACAACCATGGTGACATTACACATCCCTGTCTAAGACCTACTTTTACGAGGAAGTATTCTCCCTATCTTCTACACACCCTAACCTGAGCCTCACTATCCTCATAAAAACTCTTAACAGCATTTAGTAACTTACCACCTATTCCATATACATACTTGCAACATCTGCCACATTGCTCCTCTATCCACTCTATCATATGCCTTTTCTAAATCCATAAATGCAATAAAAACTTCCCTACCTTTATCTAAATACTGTTCACGTACATGCTTCAATGTAAACACTTGATCTACACATCCCATACCCATTCTGAAGCCTCCCTGCTCATCCGCAATCCTACATTCTGTCTTACCTCTAATTCTTTCAATTATAACCCTACTGTATACTTTTCCTGGTATACTCAGTAAACTTATTCCTCTATAATTTTTACAATATCTTTTGTCCCCTTTCCCTTTATATAAAGGGATTATACATGCTCTCTGCCAATCCCTAGGTACCTTCCCCTCTTTCATACATTTATTAAACAAAAGTACCAACCACTCCAACACTATATCCCCCCCCTGCTTTTAACATTTCTGTCATGATCCCATCAGTTCCAGCTGCTTTACCCCCTTTCATTCTACGTAATGCCTCACGTACCTCCCCCACACTTACATTCTGCTCTTCTTCACTCCTAAAAGATGGTATACCTCCCTGGCCAGTGCATGAAATTACCGCCTCCCTTTCTTCCTCAACATTTAAAAGTTCCTCAAAATATTCTCGCCATCTACCTAATACCTCCCTCTCCCCATCTACTAACTCCCCTACTCTGTTTTTAACTAACAAATCCATACTTTCCCTAGGCTTTCTTAACTTGTTTAACTCACTCCAAATTTTTTTCTTATTTTCATTAAAATTTCTTGGCAGTGCCTCTCCCACTCTATCATCTGCTCTCCTTTTGCACTCTCTCACCACTCTCTTCACCTTTCTTTTACTCTCCATATACTCTGCTCTTCTTATAACACTTCTGCTTTGTAAAAACCTCTCATAAGCTACCTTTTTCTCTTTTATCACACCCTTTACTTCATCATTCCACCAATCACTCCTCTTTCCTCCTGCCCCCACCCTCCTATAACCACAAGCTTCTGCCCCACATTCTAATACTGCATTTTTAAAACTATTCCAACCCTCTTCAACCCCCCCCCCACTACTCATCTTTGCACTAGCCCACCTTTCTGTCAATAGTCGCTTATATCTCACCCGAACTTCCTCCTCCCTTAGTTTATACACTTTCACCTCCCTCTTACTTGTTGTTGTCACCTTCCTCTTTTCCCATCTACCTCTTACTCTAACTGTAGCTACAACTAAATAATGATCCAATATATCAGTTGCCCCTCTATAAACATGTACATCCTGGAGCCTACCCATCAACCTTTTATCCACCAATACATAATCTAACAAACTACTTTCATTACGTGCTACATCATACCTTGTATATTTATTTATCCTCTTTTTCATAAAATATGTATTGCTTATTACCAAATTTCTTTCTACACATAGCTCAATTAAAGGCTCCCCATTTACATTTACCCCTGGCACCCCAAATTTACCTACTACTCCCTCCATAACATTTTTACCCACTTTAGCATTGAAATCCCCAACCACCATTACTCTCACACTTGATTCAAAACTCCTCACGCATTCACTCAACATTTCCCAAAATCTCTCTCTCTCCTCTACACTTCTCTCCTCTCCAGGTGCATACATGCTTACTATAACCCACTTTTCACATCCAATCTTTACTTTACTCCACATAATCCTTGAATTAATACATTTGTAGTCCCTCTTTTCCTGCCATAGCTTATCCTTCAACATTATTGCTACTCCTTCTTTAGCTCTAACTCTATTTGAAACCCCTGACTTAATCCCATTTATTCCTCTCCATTGAAACTCTCCCACCCCCTTCAGCCGAATAGGCAGAACTTGCGATCTTGGCTTAAATAGCAACGCTCATCTTGCCATATAGGACAAGTGAAAATTTATGTATGCAATAATTTCGCCAAAATCATTCTGAGCCTAACGAAAAAAATATATTTCACTGTGTTTGCTTAGTATTAAATTATTGTAAAGAAATCTAAAATATATTTAGTTGGGTTAGGCTAAAATAAATTGTTCTTGTTATAATAAGGTTACGTAAGTTTTCTAAGATTCTTTTGGAGCAAAATTAAATTTTTTTACATTAACATTAATGAAAAATATATATCTTTATAAGTATAAAAGAAAATTTTAGAAAGGGCTTAATTTTAAATGAGTTCTTGCTAATTGACCAGTTTTACATATTCGGCACGACATATATATATATAGATATATATACTATATAGTATATATATTGGCAGTTTGGAGGGATATGTTGTGTATCTTTATACGTATATGCTTCTAAACTTGTATTCTGAGCACCTCTGCAAAAACAGTGATTATGTGTGAGTGTGGTGAAAGTGTTGAATGATGATGAAACATTTTCTTTTTGGGGATTTTCTTTCTTTTTTTTGGGTCACCCTGCCTCGGTGGGAGACGGCCGACTTGTTAAAAAAAAATTATATATATATATATATATATATATATATATATATATATATATATATATATATATATATATATTCTTTCTTTCTTCTTTCAACACACCGGCCGTATCCCACCGAGGCGGGGTGGCCCAAAAGGAAAAACGAAAGTTTCTCCTTTTACATTTAGTAATATATACAGGAGAAGAGGTTACTAGCCCCTTGCTCCCGGCATTTTAGTCGCCTCTTACAACACGCATGGCTTACGGAGGAAGAATTCTGTTCCACTTCCCCATGGAGATAAGAGGAAATAAACAAGAATAAGAACTAGAAAGAAAATAGAAGAAAACCCAGAGGGGTGTGTATATATGTGCTTGTACATGTATGTGTAGTGTGACCTAAGTGTAAGTAGAAGTAGCAAGACGTACCTGAAATCTTGCATGTTCATGAGACAGAAAAAAGGACACCAGCAATCCTACCATCATGTAAAACAATTACAGGCTTTCGTTTTACACTCACTTGGCAGGACGGTAGTACCTCCCTGGGCGGTTGCTGTCTACCAACCTACTACCTATAATATATATATTTTTTTTTTTTTTTTTTTTTCAACAAGTCGGCCGTCTCCCACCGAGGAGTGTAGTGTAACCTATATGAGAGTAGAAGTAGCAAGATGTACCTGAAACCTTACATGATTATGAGACAGAAAAAACACACCAGCAATCCTACCATCATGTAAAAAATTACAGGTTTCTCTTTCACACTCACTTGGCAGGATGGTAGTACCTCCCTGGGCAGATGCTGTCTCCCAACCTACTGTCTCCTGCTTTATAATTATTATTATTATCTTTCATTGAGTCAATGACACTACAGAATCAGAGGGAAAACTGTTATGAGGATTATATTTTTCAAGGTGCATCGTTAGCATGTTTCTTTGAAAGCTGGAATTAGCTTTTAATTTAATTACAAATTTCAATAATAGTTAAATAACAAAAAGGCACAATACCGTGACTGGAACGATACACAAATAACCCGCACATAAAAGACAGAAGCTTACGACGACGTTTCAGTCCGACTTGGACCATTGACAAAGTCACACAGTGTGACTTTGTCAATGGTCCAAGTCGGACTGAAACGTCGTCGTAAGCTTCTGTCTTTAATGTGCGGGTTATTTGTGTTTCAATAATAGTATTACAGAAAATACAATCAAACCACTAGATTTCTCAGCAAAGAGCCTGATGTATAGGTTATTGCCAAATGAGTTTGAGACAGTCAAATTCAAGTAGCAACAATCCTGCCAATACAGGAGGGCCCCACTTATACGGCGGGTTAGGTTCCAGGCTACCGCCGTAAAGCGGAAACCGCCGTAAAGTGGAACACCCTTTTTTTCCACTTACAAATGCATACAAACACTAGATAACAAGTTTACACTAACATATATTATGTTAGCAATAGAACCAGGCATCAAAAAAACAATAAAAAAGTACAATACACACATAGTGCACTCATTACTTACCTTAAAATATTTATAGTCTTAATCTAGGGTGAGACAAGTAGTATTTATTGTAAGAATTCAAGTGTGGTATGTATGGTAGTCAGCCAGGCTACCATACCAGGCCACCCCACCCACATACAATTCTATGATATTTAAGCATCCCAGAGCGATAAAATGTATATACAGTTCACTCATTACTTACCTTAAAATATAGGGTGAGATGAGTAGTATTTATTGTAAGAAATCAAGTGTGGTATGTATGGTAGTCAGCCAGGCTACCATACCAGGCCACCCCACCCACACATACCATTCTATGATATTTAAGCATCCCAGAGCGATAAAATGTATATACAGTTCACTCATTACTTACCTTAAAATATAGGGTGAGATGAGTAGTATTTATTGTAAAATATCAAGTGTGGTAAGTATGGTAGTCAGCCAGGCTACCATACCAAGCCAACCCACCCACACATACTATTCTATGATATTTAAGCATCCCAGAGCGATAAAATGTATATACAGTTCACTCATTACTTACCTTAAAATATAGGGTGAGATGAGTAGTATTTATTGTAAAAAATCAAGTGTGGTATGTATGGTAGTCAGCCAGGCTACCATACCAGAGAGAAAGAATGAGTGCATGAGAGAGGACAGGCGCAGAGTTATGTAAACAAACCAGGCGAAGGTAAGTTTTGTAAACAGTGTACACGTCTGGTTTGTGTACAAGTTACATTGTGTACAGGTTGTCTCTACATTGATACGGTAGAATAAATAAAGAAGAACACTCCCATTCTCATGTAACATCATTTTGAGAAGAAATGATGCTCTGAGTGAAGGCAATGGAAGTAAGTCACTTTGACTTTTTTGGGTTATCCTAGGTTCTCTACACATATGTTGTTATGTATTTATGTTATGTATCGTGTTTATTATATAATTTTGAAAAAAATATCACGGATGTATTAATGAAAATGTGTATATTAACGTAATATACAACATTTAATGATACACCGAGCTCAGACAGCGTAAACAAACAAACTGAACAGGTTGTGGACGATCACTCGGTCAGGCGAAATAGACGGTATTAATACGTGTCCAGTTTTAGTTCATTCATGTACATTTGTAAGAGTTTGTGAAACTTTTACCTTATAATATTTTTATTATTATTATAATAATTAAATCACGAAACAAATACTCTTACACTGTGTACAAGTTAGTACAGAATTATAGCTATAAAGTGAAGGCATACAAAAGGAATATTTTTCTACAGTTATCCCTAGTAACAGGTGACGGGCTAGAGAAAACGTAATTCTTCCGACACTTCTACAAACCGTTTGGTAAACATCTCATATATATTTGTATAAATTTTTATACTGTGGGTGCATGTATCATGTTTGTGTGTTACATAATGTGTTTCTTATATAATTTTGAAAAAAATATCATAGATAGATTAAGGGAAATGTCTATATTAACGTAATATGCGACATTAATGCGCCCAAGAGATTATTATTATTACTATTATTATTATTATTATTATTATTGCATCAAGAGTAGAGAGACTCTTAGTGATTTTAATGTGTACCTACATGCCAGCACAGTGTGTAAGTTTATTTAGGTACAGGTGTACACAAGTTTAATTATCAAGTACAATACATATAAAATATACAATAACTTTAAAACACTTGAAATTTTGGAAAGTTTCCAGACATAATAAGGAGATGTGCTCAGGGAGAATGTAAACAAACTCGGTGGGCCGCTGTGACCGTATTAGAAAGACAGGTGGGGGGAGCCGTATAGCGAGTTTTGGTCATAATTTGAAATGTCCGTATTAGCGGAACGCCGTAAAGCGAAACGCCGTAAAGCGGGGCCCTCCTGTATATAGTAAACATCAGCTTGTCTTAATGTACGTCTGCAGTTATATCTCACACATATGTGGCCTTTAAAATCACTTTTAAACCCAGCTGCAGTTTTATATGATATCTTGCACCATGTTACCTCTTCTCAAATCATTTGCAAATCCTGTTCTAGTATTTAAATTATACACTTACACAAATATACTATTGAACACTATGAATTTTCAGTGAAAGAACATAGTTATTAGGTTAGGAAAATGAACAAATGCTTTTTTTTCCATGTGAGAGTACTTCTAAGCCCCACTAAGGGCAGCCTATATACTGCTTACTCTTGTGTATGTTTGAATTACCAGAGTCAAGAAGACCAAAGAATTTAAAAGAATTAAAGCTGAGCTCAACTAATCTTTCCATAACTTGCTACAATTAGAGTACAATGCAGAAACTCACGTCTCCGATAATTTTCGCTTCCGTGATTGAGTTCGAGATAGTTCTTGACTGAGGTTGAGCAGAGAACTGGTGGGCAGTGCATCAATTAACTCGTTAAGCACCAGTCTCCTCAGAACAATGTTGGCAACCTGATGAATTCAATTATATTAACAGTTTCTTTACTATTACTTACTCATTGTCTCTTATTAGGACAAAATACATTTTAATGTTTTAGACTGACCTGAATATTCCTTCTATTATAAAATAAGGTGAAATATATAGCACAGTTAGCCCCTGAACAACATGGGTTTGAAATGCACGAGTCCACTTATACACAGATTTTTTTTTCAATAAATATACTTGAAATTTTTTTGGAGATTTGTGACCCCAAAAAATTAAGAAACAGTTAGTAATGTCATAAATGCATAAAATATATGTAAATACTAGTCTATTTTATCATTTACTACCAAAAATATACACTATAAAAAGTTTACATTTATCAAAACTTGCACACACAAACAATTACATGTCATATTGTCGTACATGTTCCATTCACTGTTGAGAGAAATGTAAACAAACATAAAGATGCAATAATATAATAATAATTATATTTTTTTTTATTAACACATTGGCCATTTCTCACCAAGGCAGGGTGGCCCGAAAAAGAAAAACTTTCATCATCATTCACTCCATCACTGTCTTGCCAGAGGAATGCTTACACTACAGTTATAAAACTGCAACAGAGTGCTGGCACTGTACTTCCCATCTCCATGAATCAAGTCCGGCCTGCCGGTTTCCCTGAATCCCTTCATAAATGTTACCTTGCTTACACTCCAACAGCACGTCAAGTCCTAAAAACCATTTGTTTCCATTTGCTCCTATCTGACACGCTCACGCACGCCTGCTGGAAGTCCAAGCCCCTGGCACACAAAACCTCCTTTACCCCCTCCCTACAACCTTTCCAAGGCCAACCCCTACCCTGCCTTCTCTCCACTACAGATTTATACACTCTCGAAGTCATTCTATTTCGTTCCACCCTCTCTACATGTCCAAACCATCTCAATAACCCCTCCTCAGCCCTTTGGATAATAGTTTTGGTAATCCTGCACCTCCTCCTAATCTCCAAATTACGGATTCTCTGCATTATATTCACACCACACATTACCCTCAGACATGACATCTCCACTGCCTCCAGCCTTCTTGTTGCAATATTCACCACCCATGCCTTACACCCACACAAGAGTGTTGGTATAACTATACTCTCATACATTCTCCTCTTTGCTTTCATGGATAAAGTTCTTCGTCTCCACAGACTCTTCAGTGAACCACTCACCTTTTTCCCCTCGTCAATTCTATGATTCACCTCATCTTTCACAGACCCATCTGCTGACATGTCCACTCCCAATTATCTGAATACATTCACCTCCTCCATACTCTCTCCTTCCAATATGATATCCAATCTTCCGTTACCTAACTTTTTATCCTCATCACCTTACTCTTTCCTATATTCACATTTAATTTCCTTCTTTTACATACCCTACCAAACTCATAAACCAACCTCTGCAACTTCTCTTCAGAATCTCCCAAAAGCACAGTGTCATCAGCAAAGAGCAACTATGACAACTCCCATTTTGTGTTAGATTCTTTATCTTTTAACTCCACACCTCTTCCCAACACCCAAGCATTCACTTCTGTTACAACTCCATTTATAAATATACTGAACAACCATGGTGACATCACACATCCCTGTTTAAGGCCTACTTTTACTGGGAAATAATCTCCCTCTCGCCTACATACTCTAACCTGAGCCTCACTATCCTTGTAAAGACTCTTCACTGCTTTCAATAACCTACCTCCTATTCCACACACTTGCAACAACTGCCACACTGCCTCCCAATCCACCTTATTATAAGCATTTTCTAAATCCATCAATGTAACAAAAACTTAAATAACAAAAAAAGGCACAATACTGTGCCTTACCTAAATAGGGCTCGTATCCCTTACCCTTCTTAAAACCTCCTTATTCATCTGTGATCCTTCTATGTCTTATCCCTAATTCTTTCAGTAATAATTGTACCATACTTTACCTGGCATACACAACACCCTTTTTATCCTTTTTTCTTTATACAGAGAAACTATGCATGCTCTCTGCCAATCCCTAGGTACACAAATAACCCACACATAGAAGAGAGGAGCTTACGACGATGTTTCGGTCCAACTTGGACCATTTACAAAGTCACAAAGTCCTCTCTTCTATATGCAGGGTATCTATGTATTGTTCCAGTCATGGTATTGTGCCTTGTTTTGTTAATCCCTAGGTACTTTCCCCCCCACATGTTCATTGAAAAAATCCAAAACCATAATCCCACCTATTTTTAACATTTTTCTTTTGATTCCATCAATCTCATCTGCTTTACCCACTTTCATTTTACCCACAGCTTTATGCACCTCCCCCCACACTTACATCTGGCTCTTCCTCACTCCTAAAAGATAATATATCTCCCTGGCCAATGCATGAAATCACTGCTTCCCTTTCCTCATCAGCATCTGACAATTTCACAAAATATTCTCTCCATCTTCCCAATACCTCTACTTCCCCATCTAATAACTCCCCCCCCCTTTTTTTTTTAACTGTTAAATCTATTTGTTCCTTAGGCTTTCTCAACTTATTAATCTCATTCCAAATCTTTTCATTTTCAACAAAATTTACTGACAAAACCTCACCCACTCTTTCATTTGTTCTCCTTTTACACTGGCTCACCACTCTCTTAACCTCTCTTTTACACTCCATATTCTCTACCCTTCTTATATCACCTCTGTTTTGTAAAAAAAAAATTCTCATATGCTAACTTTTTCTCCCTCTGTCTATCTCGTCATTCCACTAATCACTCCTCTTTCCTCCTGCACCCACCCTCCTATATCCAAAAATTCTGCTGAATACGGTAACATTGCCTTCTTAAATTTTCCCCATACCTCTTTGACCACCTCATTATCTATACTCTCTCTAGCCCATCCTCCCAACAGCTGCTTGAATGTTACCCTAACCATCTCTTCTAACTTGTAAGTTTTCACTTCTTTCTCTCTGCTTTCACTTCTTTCTCTCTTACTCACTGATGACATTCTCTTTATACTCCATCTACCTCTTAATCTCACTGTAGCTACAACTAAATATTGATCAAATATATCTGTTGCCTCTCTAAAAACATGCAAGGGGCCTGGACGTGCAGCAGGCAAGTGTGAGTGTGTTAGACAGGAGTAAATGGAGACAAATGATTTTTGAGACCTGGTGAGCTGTTGAAGTGTATGCAGGGTAATATTTTCTGAAGGGATTCAGGGAAACTGGTTAGCTGGACTTTAGTCCTGGAGATGGGAAGTACAATGCCTGCACTTTAAAAGAGGGGTTTGGGATACTGACTCTATAGAGTGACCTCTAAACTGTCAAATTCAGGCACCTATGCAAAGACAGTGATTTTGTTTGAGTGATGGTCTACCTGGAGGGTATTCAGGGGATCAATGCCCCCACGGCCTGGTCCATGACCAGGCCTCCCAGTGGATCAGGGCCTGATCAACCAGGCTGTTACTGCTGGCCGCACGTAGTGAAATTATTCTTTTCTGTTTTGGGTTGCGCTGCCTCGGTGGGAGATGGCTCGTGTTAAATAAAAAAAAGCAGTCTGGCTACTGTCATTACGCTTTGTATTATATACTGCTTATTACACTCTATATCATTTATTGCTTACTTGTCCTTTTTTTCTTAAAACACGTATTACCTATTACCAACCTCTTTCTATACAGCTCTATAAGGGCCCTCTATTATCACTTACCCCTGGCACTCCAAACTTACCTGCTTTGCTCTCTACAACAGTTTCTCTCATTTCAGCATTTATTTCCTCCACAAGAATTACTAACTGGTTAAAAACTCACTAAACACTTGCTTAACATCTCTTAAAATCTCTCTCTTTCCTCTACACTCCTCTCTTACCCATAAGCATAAACCCTTAATATAACCCACTTTTGGCATCCTACTCTTATTTTAATCCACAAAATCCTTAAATTTATACATTTATATTCCCTCTTTTCCTTCCATAACTGATCAATGAGCATTACTGCTACTCCTTTCTTATCTCTAATTCTCTAAGATACACATGACCTAATCCCATTTATTTCTTTAAATTTTTAATTTATTTCAAGAAGTATTAAATCTTTGTTTGTCATTCAGTGCAAGGAGTTGCAGAAGCTTGATCCTCCATACAAATATAGCAGACTGGTCTCTGATTGGTCAGGCTTTTGGTGGTATGCCTTTCCTTGAAGGCAAATGAATATATTCTACTACCAATCTAATACAATTCTCTTCTGACTAACCTGAGGTATGAGAAGACTATTAGTGGTACAAGTATGAAGGCTAGTTGTGGCTTCACTTGTAAGAGTAGATGAACCAAGGGCATCAGCCAACATACAAATACATTGTAGAATAGCCTTCCTCAATAATCCTGTTAATATAATATACTGTTTAAGTACATTATTGTTTTCAGATTATTAATGATTTAAGAAGAAAAATAAGAAGCTAGCTTTAAAATTCACATATTCTCCTACAGTACAGATTCAATGTGCTTGAAAAATAGATAAAATTTATATAACTTGTCACCTCATGTCAAAAATTCTTTGTGTACAACTATGAAATTGTCAGGAACTAGTCATAATTCAGTTTATGCCACAAAAACGTTTTTATTACTATTGTTTACAGACAAAAGAAATTTCCTCTTATTTCTTTTTGCTATACTGTATATTGAAAGTTGTTTTCTATTGCTGATATATGGTTTCCTCTAGGTGAAAATGCTAGCACAAGCAAACCGCTCCAGTCATACTGATGTTTCTAGCTATAAGTAGTTTGTAGTTACACAGACTCTAACAGTATAAGCCATTTTCTTAGCTCTTGGACCCACCTCTCAATGTGCCGCTTGACAGATTCACACACTCCTAGCCTCGTGGGCCCTATTGTACTCATTCTTAAAACCACAAATGAACTCTGCCTCCACCACTTCTTCGTTGACATCATTCCACTTCCTGACCATCCTGAGACTGAAGAAATACTCCCTGACATCCCTGTGACTCACCTGTGTTTTTGATCTCAAGATGTGCCCTTGAGTACCTAGTTCCTATCTCTCAAACAGCTCTATCAATTCCTCTGAATATTTTGTATGTTATATGATCTCTCCTTGGCCCTTCTGTCCTCCAGGATCATGAGATTTAATCCTATTACCCCTTAGCTCTGAAACTAGTCTTGTTGGTTGCTTCTGTACTTTCTCCAGTTCCTTAACATACTTCCTCAAGTGTGGGTTCCACAATGGTGCTGCCTACTTCAAAATGGGTCTGACATATGTTGCATAAAATGTCTGGAATGACTCTTTCTTGAGATTTCTGAAGACCACTTTCAAATGACATGACTTAAAATGTGTTAAATATAAAATGTATCAATATTGTTCCTCTAATCTAGGAGTAATGATGTTGATGCTATGTGCATATTTGCACATTTTGTTCTCAGGATAATTGAAATGCTTGTAGCAAACTACACATACACACACAAAAGAAAACATTTATGCCATTATTTGACATGCTTCTACTTACATTTTAACTAAAGGAAAAAGCAATAGGAAACTCTCTATTTAATGCACTAATTGGAGGAGTGGGTGGCCAGAAACAACAGTTGTGGAAGATAGAGAAACGATTGTTTTGCTGTGATTGTAAGAATAGTGAACAATTCTGCAACAAAAGAACTCTGTCCTTTGCTTCCAAATCTATTGAACCAACAGATTTTGTTTTGCATTTGTGAAATCCACTAAATAGAGGGCTTACTGTATTCCAAATTAGGGTCAATTTTTTTTTTAACACATTCACCATCACCTATTCTTTAACTGCCTTTTCAAAAGTGCACAGACATCACATTCAAATGACACTTTGAGCACCACAGCCCCACTGGTCCTTCATAGAACTGGCACTGCACTTCACACCTCCACAACTTAAGTCCACCTAACAGGTTTCTAACTGAACAAAATTAAATTCTGTTTCTTAACAAGTTTTTACCTGTCATCTTTTCCATCACATTTGGAATAATGAGACATTTTGAAAGCACTGAGAGCAGCTCCTCCTTGAAGATCTGAATCACTTGTGAGATATGTTGCTGTAAGGCAATTATGACATCAGCCAGAAGGTCATCCATGCTTCTTCCTTTTTCTTGAGAAGTTTGGCTGCTTTCCTCTCTGACTTGACTATTAACTGCACTTGGTAAGCAAGATTCATCAGCATATTCAAAGACTGCTGCCCCAATACACTGTATCAGATAGTCTTGCCTCTGTGAAAAGAAAAGTAAAATGTTTTAAATGTAATAACAGGATACAAAATTCACATCTAATTGTTATAAATAACATTACAGATGATTTACTAAAAAATAAACAGACTAAGACCATGCTGTCTATGGCATTTTGTTCTTTTGGGCTTTTAACCCTTAAAACGGTCCAAACAGATCGATGTTCAAATTCATAGTGCTCCAAAAGTAGATCTACTTTTTTTTACATATTTTCAAATATAACAAAAAAAAAATGTAGATAAAAGTTTTTTTTACACATTTTCAAATGTAAAACAAAAAAGAAGGTCTACATTTTTTTACATACTTTCAGATGTTGAAAAAACGTATATATACGTTTGGACCGTTTAAGGGTTAATAACTGCCCTAAATACTTAGCAAAATCAGTTCAATGAAACAAGTTTAGTTCACAAAATTATCATGTATACTTCACTGCACCATATACAGAGAGACTGACTACCTTTGCATTGACATGAAATATAATGATATTCAATATTACTTCCATGTACCCTGTCTTATTTTTCTTCCTCTATCAAAATTAAAAAATGAAATCAGTTTAAAGTTGTGCTCATTCCCTTTTATGCAAATCTCACCATATAGCTCTCGCTGTCCATTACGTTAGTCCTTGAAATTTCTATACAAGTTTCTTAAATTCATTAAGAGGTAATTAACTTTATATACTTTCGTTCTTTCTTTCAACAAACCGGCCGTATCCCACCGAGGGAGGGTGGCCCAAAAGAAAAACAAAAGTTTCTCTTTTTCTTCTTTCAATGTACCAGCCATATCCCATGGCTGGTAATTTATATAGGAGAAGGGGTTACTATCCCCTTGCTCCTGGCATTTTAGTCGCCTCTTACAACACACATAGCTTACGGAGGAAGAATTCTGTTCCATTTCCCCATGGAGATAAGAGGAAATAAACAAGAACTAGTAAGAAAATAAGAAAACCCAGAGGGGTGTGTATATACATGCTTGCACATGTATGTGTAGTGTGACCTAAGTGTAAGTAGAAGTAGCAAGAAGTACCTGAAATCTCGCATGTTTATGAGACAGAGAAAAGACACCAGCAATCCTACCATCATGTAAAACAAGTACAGGCTTCCATTTTACACTCACTTGCCAGGACGGTAGTATCTCCTTGGGTGGTTGCTGTCTACCAACCTAATACCTAGAAAGTTTATATACATTTCAATGATATTTTCAATCTTAAATTTAAAAAATCACACTTAAGTGACTCATTATTATATGCCTTTGAATAAGAAGTACAACAAATGCAAATACTGATACTGAACTTACTTCAATGAAGCTTGGTAGTCCCCATATGTCCAAAAGACATGAGATGGCAGAAAGTGAGGCAGCCTTAAGATTAGTGTCACCAGCTTCTAAACAAGAAGTAATAAGCAGCCATATCTGATCATTAAGATGTTCACAACAGTTCCACAAATACTCTCCCAAGAGTTTTATCACCTGCATAAAAAAAAACTTAGTATAAAATTCTAATTTTATATTCAATATACATTAAATCTAGAATACCTTTAAATAATAAAAGGAGATTAATACAATCTCAAAACATCTTTTGTCTTAACAGAACATTTTCTGCAACAACTGTAAGAGAAATGTCTCTTACATCAAGTACAGTATACCTCGAGTAATTTCAACACTACAATAATTCTAGCAGCAACAGCTTTCCAGTTATGAATAAAATAATTGTCAAGAAAATCATCTTTGCAAGTTTTCCTAATATCCAGTTAACAACTAATTTTCTATAATTTTTTTATTTATTTTATTATTTTGTACCTTAACCCTTTGACTGTCGCAACCCCAAATCCTAAAGTGTCTTTCTGTGTCACAAAACTTTCGAAAAAAAAAAAAAAATTCTTATGAAATGATAGAGAATCTTTTCCCGATGTTAATGACACCAAAAGTACGAAATCTGATGGAAAACTTACGGAATTACACTCTCGCGAAGTTAGCGATCTCGGCGATGTTTATGCATCGGCAATTTCACCCACTTTGAGCTCTATTTTTGGCCAATTCCATTGTTCCAGTTGACCAACCTCATAGCTATTTCTTTAGAACTCCATCTGTTCTATCGATTGAGTACAAGAAACCACCCATTTACTGATTTCAACTACCCAATAAAGTGGTCAGAAATTGGCAATTTGGCCAATTTTGCACAAATTAAAAAAGATGCCAATTTTAATATAGGGTCCAGAATGAAGAATGCAGATATTCCTGGCACTAAAATAACATTTTCTCTGTTCATCAGTCATGGCCCCAGGCCCCTCTTATATTACTCTTGCTTTCTATTTTGAAATTTTATTCACACAAAAAATAGAAGATTTACTGTTATGCAGACTACTGCATTATTGTAATAATTGTATAAATAATGTCAACCCATTTGTGACAGCATATTAGAATGGCTAATTGGACACTTACTGGACAATGACATCATTTGTTTACTCTTGATTATTATTATTATTATAATCAAGGGGGAAGCGCTAAACCCGGAGGATTATACAGCGCCTGGGGGGGGGGGGATGTGGAAGGCATTCAGGCTTAATTCGGGGAACTGGAGCTCAGATCCAATTCCCTAAATCAAGAGCCCCTCACCAACATCAAGGAACCTTCCTTGAGGGGTGTTTACTCTTGAACATTGGCAAAAATCGAACATTTCTGCTACTTTGAGCTCAATTTCAAGTTCCTATTCACCATGAAACCAATCAACATCATCTCTATTTCTGTAATATGTCTTCTATTCTATCAAATGAGACCAAGAAAACGAGAATACAACCATAAATACTATATGAAAATACACCTCAAACTCGGTGTTTTAATCCAAAAACACGGCCAGAGGATTTTTTTTCTCATTATGCACTGTGTGCTTCAGGATTTTTTTTATACTGCACACACTGACCACACAGACCCATTCTCTCACATGTGGGCCTACCAGCTTTCTCCCACTTGATTTGAAGCCGCTAGAATTTTGGAGTATAAATACGTCAAAAACACTGGCTCGTAAGACGTATATATATGACTGAAACAATCAAAAGGTTACAGCTGAACCACTGGCCTCCACGTGGCAGGGTCTGGTAACTCAAGAGATAACTCTGAGGCTGACAGTGGTCGCAAATAATAATTTTACCAGTTAGCCGGATTTGAATCCTGGAGGTGGAAAGTACAATGCCTACACTTTAAAGGAGGGGTTTAGGACATTGGCTGTTTGGAGTGACATCTAAACTATCATATCTGGGTACCTCTGCAAAGACAGTGGTTATGTGTGAATGATGGTGAAAATGTTTCTTTCTCTTTTGGGTGACCCTGCCTCGGTGGGAGACAGCCAACATGTTGGAATAAAAAACAATAAATTCAAGTCATCAGCTATCTCCCACCAAGGTAGGGTGACTCAAAAAAGAAAGAAACACTTTCTCTGTCAATTCATTCAATCACTGCCTTGTCAGAAGCATGCCAAATCACAGCTCATTTAACCTTCCAAACTGCAACATACCCACTCCTCCATCAGAGTGCAGGCAATGTATTTTTCAATTCCAAGATTCAAGTTCAGCTACCTGGTTTTCTCAAACCCCAGCATAAATGTTACCTCGCACACATTCCAGCAGCACTTCAAATCACAAAGGCCATTTGCCTCCATTTGTTCCTATCTAACATGCTCACACACTAATTTTTAAGATATATTAATAAGGAACAACATACAATATACATCCTACCATGATGATATTAGTGAGAATGTGGTCCAGATTAGAGTCATCAGCAAAAACAATAGTTCTGGGTGTTGGCTGGGCATTACTCCTATTAACCACTGATGAGAAACACTGACATGAAGCTGAGCCTCCATCAAACAGAACTTCTTTTCCTTCTGTAAAGATAAATACACATTTATGAGATAAGTATACCAAAGAATACCTGTGGCTACAACTATACCCTGATACAGTGCCTCCTTCAGACATGCCTCTACATGGAGAAGCTTTCAGCCAGACTCTTCCACAAACATTTCAAATTTATTTAATTCAACAGCAGCTCAAGAAACACTGGAATCATCTGTCATAGATTTTTGATGCTGATCTGGTTGTGAATTTAAGAGTAACCATTTGTGATGTAAAACATATATCTGGAAATAATAAGGAAAGCCTCAGTGAGCATAAGAATATAAATGGTTAGAGTTTGTGAGAAAGGATTAAAACATGAAAAAAGTAAGAGGTATCAATCCAAAGGAACTGTTTGAACTGAATGGACATCACATAGTGCTGAAGTGTGAGAAGTTAAAAGAACCATCAAGAAGTGGAAGAAAGGCTCACTGACTAACTTCGTGTTATTTCTTTCATGTGATAACAAAGCCAAATAGTCTCAATTCATTTGAAATATTTCCTAAGCACTTGTTTCAGAATGTATGAGTGAACTTTTTTAACTATACTGAAGATGTTGAACTTGTGTGGGTAAGGTGGTGTACAGAGTGGTGGTGGCCTGATCCTCCATCCACTGATCATGAGACAAATGCACTACCTACTGTACTTAACCCATATACACGAAAAGGCCACTTGGATACAGAAGCTCACAAAGTCATGTATGTGCTGTTTGACTACAGCTCACCTGTCACACTTGGAAATGTTTGCCTTGTGGCAGATTTCAAGGTGCTCTGGTATTGCATACATAAACTGGTGTTATTAATATGATTTAATTTTTCTTTTCAACATGTCAGCTGTCTCCCACAGAGGCAGGGTGACCCAAATAGAAAGAAAACACTTTCACCATTGTTCATACATAATCACTGTCTTTGCAGAAGTGCTCAAAACACAGCAGTTCAGATGTCACTCCAAACAGCAAATATTCCAAACTCCTCCTTTAAAGTGCAGTGCAGGCATTGTACTTCTCACCTTCAGGACTTAAGTCCAACTAACCGGTTTCCCTGAATCTCTTCACAAAATATTACCCTCCTCACACTCCAACAGCTCGTCAAATACTATAAACTATTCATCTCCATTCATTTCCAACACACTCACATATTCATTAACTCAGATTAACTCAGTAGCCAAGAGGATCTGTAACAATTACATAAATACGGGGAATTGAAATGGGGTCTACCAAAGCAGTTGTCCACCACTCAAACAGCGTGCCCATGAAGGTTATCAATATGGCAACTACAGAGAATATGGATACATAGCATATTTCAAAAAAATACATTTATACCACAGCAGAAAATAGCTTATATGACTTTTAAGTCATACCTAATCCAATTTTGACATAATCTTCAATGACAGAAGAAAATAAACGAGGACTGCGAGTAGCTAAGAGGCGCATGATGGTAACCTGAAGACTGATATTAGCTTCACTCACAGCCGATGACCCATTTACTGTCACTAGTTCAGCCAAGAGCCAACATGTGAATTCTGAAATAAAAAGAGAAACTGTGATCAGTTTAAAAAGTGTACACTGTTAACATAGAAAAAATTCTAGAGATTTAATGCATATGTACACACTGATTAATTATTAGTAACATAGTCACAAAAGTGCATAATCCATATTGGTCTCAGAACTCTATACTGATTAAACAATAGAAACAATATGTTGTTAGTGTTACTTTTTTGTAAACAAAGCATCTAAATTCCCTGAGCACCCTTTTATTATATAAAGGCTAATATGTGACTTCAATAGCATGGTATTATCATGCAGTAACTTAACATTCCAGATAAAATTTCTTACCTAAAGCTTTGTCATTATTTACAGTGTCAGCAGCAATGTTATCAGTAATACTGTTGATGCCAGTAGATGTAGGTGCAACGAGCAATCCCTCATCATGACGACAAAAATTCGTTAGTGAAGTCAAGAGTGTCAAAATGTTGGTTTCATCACCACCAGAAAACACTGGTCCAACAACATATACAAATCTATCTCGCAGAGCAGTGTTCTGGCTTGTTTCAGGACTGAAAATTAAAAAAAAAAAAAAGTCAGTCAGGTAATGAACTAGTTAAAGAGCCAAGTTGAACATAGTGATAAGTCATGATAAATGTGCAGATTGTATTTATCAAGATTTTAAGAAAACTTGAGTTTCCCAATAAGAAACTAATTTGGAAACTTCAAAACACAGAAAGAATAAAAGGCAAATTATTCCAAAGGATGAGCAAGTTTCTCTTCGAGAGGAAATCAATTTCAGGACAAATTGGAAATAATAAATCATACTTTTGAAATTGTATCATTCATACATTAGGTACCTTTCTTACTGTGTGTATGGTTGCAGTTAACCAAATAAGAAATCCTACTTAATAGTCTAATTCTTTAGTAGTCTTTAGGCATTAGGGTTAGCTTGCCCAAAATGCATTGCATACTAGTACAAATACAAAATATTTATTCCTTTGCACAGTATAAAATGTGAGATTTACATGTAATAAAGTTGGTAGAATTACCGACAATATGTAAAGTAAAAGGACACAAGTGCAACTAATGTGGCATTTATTGTGGCAACGTTTCGCTCTCCAGGAGCTTTATCAAGCCATTACGTAATGGCTTGATAAAGCTCCTGGAGAGCGAAACGTTGCCACAATAAATGCCACATTAGTTGCACTTGTGTCCTTGAGATTTACATGTTATAAGATATTGTTCAGCACAAAGAAAGCTACTATCATACGTGAGCATTTCGGGCAGACTAATCTTAATGATTACAGAATACATGTACTTAAAACTAGCCATAGATCAAGGAGTGGTAAATATTAATTATGCATTTTTTGAATTATTACAAAAAGAGAGGTAGCAAAAAAAATTACAATTAATAAGATTTATAGCAGAGAGGTAGAAAAAATATTACAATTAGCATAATTTACAATATTACAACAGTACAATTTCAAGTGTGAATTAATATTTTAGACTGATTTAGTAGTCATAAGTTAATTGAGATTTTTAGTAGTTCCAAACTGGTTAAATGATTTCAGACATTGAACAGTGCTGGTACTGTTAAGTTTAGGAGATGAGATGATTTTTAATTATAGCCCTAAATTAATTGACAGTCAAGGTGAAGACCTAAAAATTTGACCTCATTTTATCTTGTAATGGGGGGAATTATTGATCAATATGTTAAGTTGGATAATAAGGCTCGGTTTCCAAACAGCATGTAGTAGGTTTTGTCTATATTAAGAGGGAGTTTGTTGGTTGTCATCCACATAGATTTTTTAGTAGCTCATCATTAACAGTCATTAAGCATAGTTGGGTTTGAGTAAGAGAAGACATAAGTAGTGTCATCTGAGAATAGAACTGGTTTAAGGAGATGAGATGCATTGGGAAGCTCATTGATGTAAATGAGAAAGAGCAGAGGGCCAAGGACACTGCCCTGTGGCACTCCAACAGCTACAGGCTGAGAAGCTGAGGCTACACTATTTGTGGAGACATACTGGTGTCTATTGCCAAGATAAGATTTTAGGTATTCAAGGGTATGTCCTCAGACCCCAAAATTATCTAGTTTAAAGAGCAAGATATTGTGGTCCACTTTACTGAATCCTTTTTGCAGGTCTATGCAGAGCCCTAGAGGATATTAATTTTTTTCAAGTGCTGCATATATCAGTTCAAGTATTTGTATAACTGCATCATTCATATTTTTTTTTGGCCTAAACCCAAACTGGCAGGGGTTAAGTATGTTGTGAGATATTAGGTAGGAGTAAACTCGCTTACGAATTATTTTTTTGAAGATTTTAAAAAGTAAGGGCAAGTGTGATATAGGCCTATAGTTATTCACATCAGCAGGATCATCTCCTTTGAGAATTGGGGTAACCCTTGCTCTCTTGAGTAGGAAAGGGAAAGTTGAAGATTCCACTGATTTGTTAGAGTTGCAATAATGGGTGACAGCACATGTGCTGCTTTATTGTACATTAGTGGCTTCTTTTGTGCCTAACATGTAGGCTACATTATCTGTGCAGTGCATAAAAAGAAAAAACTCTGAATTTGAATAACACCATTGAAGTCATAAGGATCTGCACTTTGCCTTATACAGTTTTTAATTTATGTAAATTACGTATTTACCAGTTGCAACTGAAAACTACATGTGTTTGTTTGCATGTAGTGCTAAAGTACTTGACAAAATAAACAAAAAAAAAATGACTTGGATATACTGAGCAAATGGAGTGATAGTTGGATGATGGAATTTAATGTTGATAAATATCTGTATAAGAAAACATTCATGACTACATCCAGATATTATTCCAATGTGTGTAATCACTAACATTTTACAGAATTCACTGTTAAATAATACATACACATTGTCTGTCATCTTGGAGTTTATGATGAGTTCAACATCTTGGAGGAAACGTCAGTACTTTAGAGTTGGTAACTCTGCACAGAAAATAAAAATCTAAGTTCTTTACAAAAAAGTAAAAAAAAAGTATAGACATATTATCTAAATATTAGTTGTTTTGTTAACCAATTATATTTCTTGCATACTTATACACAGTATGCATGCATGCACGTACGTACTCACCTAACTGTGGTTGCAGGGGTCGAGTCATAGCTCCTGGCCCCGCCTCTTCACTGGTCGCTACTAGGTCACTCTTTCCCTGCTCCATGAGCTTTATCATACCTCTTCTTAAAGCTATGTATGGTTCCTGCCTTCTCTACATTACTTTCCAGACTATTTCACTTCCTGACAACTCTATAACTGAAGAAGTACTTCCTAACATCCCTGTGACTCATCTGAGTCTTTAGCTTCCAATTGTGACCCCTTGTTGCTGTGTCCCATCTCTGGAATATCCTGTTACTGTCCATCTTGGCGAGTCCTCTCAGTATTTTATGTCATTATCATATCCTCCCTCTCTCTCTCCTGTCCTCCAGTGTTGCCAGGTCAATTTCCCTTAACCTTTCCTCATAGTACATGCCCCTTAGCTCCAGGACTAGTTTCATTGCAACCTTTGTACTTTCTCTAATTTCTTGATCTGCTTGAACAGGTGTGGGTTCCAAACTGGTGCTGCATACTCCAATATGGGCCTGACATACATGGTGTACAGGATCCTGAATGATTCCTTACTGAGATGTCGGAATGCTATTCTTAGGTTTGCCAGGCGCCCATCTGCTGCAGCAGTTATTTAGCTGATGTGCATCCCAGGAGATGTGCTTTGTATTATACTCACCCCAAGATCCTTTTCCCTGAGTGAGGTTTGTAGTCTTTGTCCCCCTAGACTGCACTCTGTCTGTGGTCTTCTTTGCCCTTCCCCAATCTTCATGACTTTGCACTTGGTGGGGTTGAACTCCAAAAGCCAGTTTCTGGACCAGGCCTGCAGCCTGTCCAGATCTCTTTGTACATACAGTGGACCCTTGACCAAAGGCTGCATCGGCTAACGCCAAAATCAGCTAACAGCTCTCCTTGGCGTCAAAATATTGGCTCAGCCAACACCAAAAAACTTGGCTAAGGGCTTTCGTCCAGAACGTGTCCAAACGGCCTAAGCAGGCCCAGCCACTCCAAGACTCTGTGCATAGCCAGTGTGCCATTGTTTACAAGCCGTTGCGGTCGATTCCACACATACACGCGATATATTCTGTATTATTCTATTGCTTTCAGTGCTTGTAACTGCTAAATAAGCCACCATGGGCCCCAAGAAAGCTTCTAGTGCCAACCCTGTGGTAAAAAGGGTGAGATGTACTATCGAATTAAAAAAAGAGATAATAGAAAAGTACGAAAGTGGAATGCGTATCTCGGAGTTGGAAAGGTTATATAACAAATCCCATTCAACCATCACTACTATCTTGGCCAACAGAAAGGCAATCAAGGAAGCTGTTGTTGCGAAAGGTGCAAGTATGTTTTCAAAACAGAGATAGCAAATACTCGAAGATATGGAGAGACTGTTGTTGGTGTGGATACGCGAAAAACAATTATCAGGAGATAGTGTTTCTCAGTCAATAATACGTGAAAAGGCAAGGCAGTTGCATGATGATCTCATTAAGAAAATGCCTGAAACTAGTGCTGATGTTAGTGAATTTAAGGCCAGCAAAGGTTAGTTTGAGAGATGTAAGAATCGTAGTACTCACCTAATTGTACTCGCCTAATTGTGGTTGCAGGGGTCGAGACTCAGCTCCTGGCCCCGCCTCTTCACCGATTGCTACTAGGTCCTCTCTCTCTGCTTCCTGAGCTTTGTCATACCTCGTCTTAAAGCTATGTATGGTTCCTGCCTCCACTACATCACTTGCTAGGCTATTCCACTTCCTGACGACTCTGTGACTGAAGAAGTACTTACTAACATCCCTGTTACTGGTCTGAGTCTTCAGCTTCCAATTGTGACCCCTTGCTTCTGTGTTTTTCTGTGTTCCCTCTCTGGAACATCCTGTCTCTGTCCACCTTGTCTATTCCACACATTATTTTGTATGTTGTTATCATGTCTCCCCTGACCCTCCTGTCCTCCAGTGTCGTCAGTCTGATTTCCCTCAACCTTTCTTCGTAGGACATTCCCCTGAGCTCTGGAACTAGCCTTGTTGCAAACCTTTGTACTTTCTCTAATTTCTTGACGTGCTTGGCCAGGTGTGGGTTCCAAACTGGTGCTGCATACTCCAGTATGGGCCTGACATACACAGTGTACAGTGTCTTGAACGATTCCTTACTAAGGTACTGGAACGCTATTCTCAGGTTTGCCAGGCGCCCATATGCTGCAGCAGTTAACTGGTTGATGTGTGCCTCCGGAGACCTGCTCGGTGTTATGGTCACCCCAAGATCTTTCTCCTTGAGTGAGGTTTGCAGCCTTTGTCCACCTAGCCTATACTCTGTCAGCGGTCTTCTTTGCCCTTCCCCAATCTTCATGACTTTGCATTTGACAGGGTTGAATTCGAGAAGCCAGTTGCTGGACCATGTGTCCAGCCTATCCAGGTCTCTTTGTAGTCCTGCCTGATCCTCATCCGATTTAATTCTTCTCATTAGCTTCACATCATCTGCGAACAGGGACACTTCAGAGTCTATCCCTTCCACCATGTCATTCATATATATCAAAAATAGCACTGGTCCTAGGACTGACCCCTGTGGGACCCCGCTCGTCACAGGAGCCCACTGTGATACCTCATCACGTAGTGGCATACACAGTGTGATAAGGAATGGTGAGGCTGCCAGTTCAGACAAAAAAGCAGCTGAAAAATATGTGCAGGACTTTAAGGAGTACATAGACACTGAAAAATTAAAACCCCAACAAGTGTTCAATTGCGACAAAACAGGCCTGTTTTGGAAGAAAATGCCAAAGAGGACCTACATTACTCAGGAGGAAAAGGCCCTGCCAGGACACAATCCTATGAAAGACAGGCTAACTCTTTTGTCCTGTGCAGGCATCTTCCAGATGCCAGCAAGTCTCTTCGATAAAGGTATATAAATGTTATTTTAAACGTTTACTTAAATTTTAATTTATCTATTGTATACTAGTACATGTAAATGTATTTATCTGAGATGTGTGTATGTAAAACTATAGTTATTCTTTAAAAAATGTGAATATTTTTGTGGGTTTGGAACGGATTAATTCTATTTTCTCATGGGAAATATTGCTTCGCCTTTCGGCCTTTTCAAGTTTAGGCCCAGCGCCTGGAACGGATTACAGCCGAAACTCAGGGTTCCAATCAACCAAAAACAAAATACCTTTTATCAATGGACTCTTCACAGAGTCAAATTCAATGTTTGAAGCTTTCACAAAGAACCATAAAAAAGATCATTTTGACAATGAAATATGGATCCCAGGGTACAACTTATTTAGATGTGACAGAAAGAACAGGCAACAAGGGAATGGTTGGCCTGTATGTCAAAGAGTCACTCAAACTGCTCAGACTTACTAAACATCACAAATGATATATGTAATTGAAGTTTTGTCAGTAAAGATTGAAAACCAAAACCTTGTCACTGGGGAATGTGTATAAACCATCAGCTCCAACTTCCAAACAATTCAAGGAACAGGTTCCGAAAATTGACTACCGTTTGGAAAAAATCTTCAAATCCCAGCACTAAATATTCTGACGCTTGGTGATTTAAATTTAAAATGTCTAAAATGGAAGAATGTAGTAAAAAAATGCTATAGCGGAGATAACCCCAGAAGGCAGCTCAGGTGAAAATTCACACATACATGAGCTATTAAATCTCTGAAACAAATTTGCCTTAAGCCAGCAAATAGTGGAGCCAACAAAACTGAAAAATACAATTGACTAATAATGATGATTTGGAATGAAATATAACAGTATCAAAGACAATACATATAGATCAAAACATAATTGAAGTACAGATGTGCATGCACAGGTAGGTACCTGGGTGTTAGTGGACTGGTGTGGGTGATATCCTGGGGGACAATTATTATTATTATAATCAAAAAGAAGTGCTAAACCTACAAGGATCCTGGGGGACAAGATTGAATAAGTAAGGAAGTTTATTCAGGTATACAAAAATACACAGCATACACAGCATGTGTAGATAACCTAGGATAACCCAAAAAAGTCACAGTGACTTATTTCCATTGGAGTCCTTTGCTACCCGTCCCATTTCCACCTGACGTTAGTATATAAGCGTCAGGCGCTTTGCTTCTGCTTCAGAATCTCCACGACTACGGTGCTCTTTGCACCTACTCCTAGGTTGAGGGACTGATTACCTCATCTTCTGTATATAGTTCTACTGTCTTCAAGTTATGTCCTGGAACTTGTATTGATAAAGCCACTGGATGGCGAAATGTCTACAATAAAGATACCCAGATGTTGCACAGGTGTCTTAATTTCATCTTGTCGGTATTGTATACCATTCTTGTACAACATAACACATGACCATAACACAAGACACAGATCACTCTTTGATGTTCCTCGTGTCCATATCACGCTATGCAAAAACTCAAAGCACATAAAAGGCCCTAAAATCTGGAATTCATTACCTGTAAATATAAAAGAAACACTGTCTGTTTATAAATTCAAGTCTCTTCTCAAAAATCACTTTCTCACCCACAACTAAATAAATACTGAATAATTGTATCTCATAAATTGTATCTCATAAATGTTTCTCATTATTGTATCTCATAAATGTCTAACCTGTGACCCAATCAAACTTTGTTATTTTTTTAATTACATTACCTAACAGAATATTCCATTCTATTGAATGTACAGCAACACAGTAAATGACCATATGACCTGTCTTTGTAATACTCATTTGTGCTAAATTGTTGTCTGTTTACAATAATGTTTTTACCACTAAATATATCATTGCTTAGTTAATCTTAAGTTAACTTTAAGCTGCCCATAATGCTCTGCATACAAGGTGCTTTGGCATGTTGCACTTTAATAACTGTATTCCTGTACTTCTCTGTATCATATTCAAATTAATAAATAAATAAATAAATAAATAAATACACTGAATTTCTTGGGTTATGCTGGGTGGTTAACCCTCCTAATCTCAGGTTATCCTGGGTGGCTATCCCTGCCCCAGGTTATCCTGGGTGGCTATCCCTGCCCCAGGTTATCCTGGGTGGCTATCCCTGCCCCAGGTTATCCTGGGTGGCTATCCCTGCCCCAGGTTATCCTGGGTGTCTAACCTTCCAATTAAATATCCAAACATATCTTATCTTGCCCTCAAAGGGCGGCAGCACAATGAACTTACTTATTAACTAAACGTTCAATCGGCATAAATTGAATTAATGAAGCCTTGACCGACGTAACAGCGAGAAGATAATATAAGAACCAAAATCCCGGGGAGATAACATGGGAGGAGATAAGTGGTCAGCAATACTGAAGAAAGAGAGAAAGATAGTGTCCCGAGGATGAGAAACACCAACCTTACTGCCGCCACAACCTCACTACTGCTTCTTGTTCTTCATGTTGGGGTTATTAAGGGACACCACAGTCATACACCCAGAAAAACTTTCATCAGCGGAATATCGTGCAACTTGCCACTTTGGTGGTAAAATCTAATCGTGGTCCTTATATACATAAATTTGAATTCGAATTTGAATTGAATAAGAAAGTAAGTTTATTTAGGCACAGGTACACATAAGTACAATTATCAAACATAGTGTAAATTAACTAGGATAATCCAGAAAATTCAAAGTGACTTATTTCCATTCTTCTCTTATAAAACTAATAATAATAATAATAATAATAATAATAATAATAATAATAATAATAATAATAATAATAATAATAATAATAATAATAATAATAATAATAATAATAATAATAATAATAATAATAATAATAACTTATTTATTTATTTATTTACAATTTGAGCACACATACAGAGGTACAAAAAAATACAGATAAGAGCAGCATGCCAAAGCCACTTATACTATGCATAGCATTACGGGCTGGCTTAAAATTAACTTAAGATTAACTAAGCAATGATGAAAACAGTGATAAAACATTAATGTAAACAGATTACTATAAAGCACAAGTGAGTATTACAAAGACAGGTCATATGGTTGTATGCATTGCTGTACATTCAGTAGAATGGAGTATTCTGTTAGGTAGTGTATTTAAAAAATAATAAAGTTAGATTGGGTTTTAGGTTTAACATTTATGTGATATAATTGTGAGAAACATTTAAGATATACAATTTATAAGGTTCAGTTATTCAGTATTTATTTGGTTTTGGGTGAGTAAGTAATCTTTGAGAAGAGACTTGAATTTATAAACAGGTAGTGTTTTCTTTTATATTTACAGGTAATGATTCCAGATTTTAGGGCCTTTTATGTGCATGAGGTTTTTGGCATAGCGTGAGATGGACACGAGGAACATCAAAAAAGTGATCTGTGCCTTGTGTTATGGTCATGTGTTCTGTTGAGGTTGCAAGGAGATGTTTGAGGGGAGGGTTAATATCAGAGTTAAGTGTTCTATGTATGTAATAGGTGCAGTAATAAGTATGGATGTTTTGTATGGTGAGTAGGTTTTTAGTGATTGAATATTGGTGGAGTGTGCTGCCTGTAGTGAGAATTTGTTATCATTCTAACTGCAGCCTTTTTTTGGGTAATAGTGGTCTGAGATGGTTACTTGTTGTTGAGCCCCCATGCACAAATTCCATAGGTGAGATAGGGGTAAATAAGAGTGATATAGGGCCAGGAGGGCTGACTGTGGAGCATAGTACCGTATCTTCGATAGTATCCCTACAGTCTTGGAAATTTTCTTAGAAATTTGTTTATATGTGTATGAAATTTGAGTCTATTATCAAGGTGGATTCCTAAGAATTTTCCCTCTTTTTAGCTTTGTGATAGGTGACCCGTTTATCATTATGTTAAAGGGACATCTGTAGCTCTGTTACCAAACTGAATGAAGTGGGTTTTTGTCAATGTTTAGTGTAAGTTTGTTAGTCCTCATCCAGGTAGATATTTTCTGTAATCGGTATTTACAGTATTGGCTAGCGTGACTGGGCTCGGGTGGGAGAAGACGTATGTAGTGTCATCTGCAAATAGTGTGGGTTTGAGTAATTCCCGAAGCATTTGGTAGTCATTTTGTTAGGAAAAAGAGAAGAGGGGCCAAGGACACTTCCCTGTGGGACACCCAACTGAAATTGGTTGTGCAGAAGAGTTTTGCCCCATTTGCGTACAATATTGCTTCTGTTGCTGAGGTATGACTTGAGGTGTTGAGGGGATGCCCTCTTATACCATAGTGTGACAATTTTACGTGGAGAAAGTCATGGTCAACTGTATCAAAAGCTTTACGTAAGTCAATGAAGATCCCCCGTGGGACTTCTTTTTTCTCTATTGCGTGTATAAAATGTTCTAGCATGTGTATAATAGCATTTATTAGTTTTTTATTGGCCTGAATCCAAATTGGCAGGGGTTGAGTATGTTTTGGGAGATAAGGTAGGAGTAGATTCGTTTATGAATTAATTTTTCGAAGATTTTTGAGAGAGGGTGTAAGTTGGATATTGGCCTATAGTTATTCAACTCTGTTTGGTCTCCTCCTTTGTGGATCGGGGTGACCCTTGCTATTTTGAGTACTGTAGGGAAGGTGGAGGATTCAATGGATTTGTTAAAGAGTGTTGCAATGATTGGTGATAGCACTTGTGACACTTTTTTGTATATAAAGGGTGGTAAGGTATTTAAATCTCCTGCCTTGTTTTTTAGTGTGTTGATAATAAGGGAAATAATGGAAATAAGTCACTCTGTCTGACTTTTTTGGGTTATCCTAGGTTCTCTACACATATGCTGCTATGTATGATAATTCTATGTAACTGTATTTGTGTATACCTGAATAAACTTACTTACTTACTTACTTACTTACGTATGGGTTAGTCGGAGCTAGGAACAGTGTGTTCGGGTAGTTGCCGGTGAGGTAGTCATTTGGTGGGGTATCTGAGCTTGGGATTTTATTGGCAAGGTTTTGTCCTATAGTGGAGAAGAAATCATCGAGTCTGTTTGCTGTTTCTGTTGGTGGGAGTTGGGGGGTTTATCTGATTTTGCTAATTTTATTTCGCTATTTCGTGATATCTTTTTTTGTTCCCAGAATTTCTGATAGGGTTTTCCAGGTCTTTTTTTATCACCTCGTAAGTTGGATAATCTGTTCTCATAATACAATTTTTTTGCCCCTTTTTATCAGGCTGGTTGGATTGACGAGTAAAAGTTTTGTTTGGTCTTTTGGGTTTTGTGACCCATTCTGTACTGTTTTTCATATTGGTGTTTTTTTATTTATGGATTTTAGAATGCTGGGTGTTAGCAGGGACTGTTCAGTCTCTTGCTGTCATCTGTTTAGTTTTTTTAGGGCAGTGCTTGTTATAGAGGTATTGGGTCTTTTTTAGAAAATTTTTAATACATTCGTCAATATCTGTATAGATTTCTAGTCGTGTGCCAGTCAATGTTTGCTACTGCTGTTGTGAAGTTATTAATGGCTGCCTCATTGTGAAGTCTGAAGGTGACTTTAGTAGTGTCTTGGGGTAATTTACCAAGAGTTGTTATGAGGAAAGTAGGGTAGTGGTCTGTGGTATTATCTGTAATTATGCCTGATTTTAAAGGGGATATGGGTTGGTCCAGATGTGGTCAAGTAGGGAAACACTAGTCTCTGTAACTCTTGTAGGTTTTGTTACTGTTGGTAGCAACATACAGTTACTCATTGTGTTTGTGAATTCAGTAACGTGTGGGTCCTGGTCTTGCAGGAGATTTATATTGAAGTCACCTGAGAGTAGTAAGTGATCTTTGTTCATGCGTGCATCAGTTATCATACTTCCTAGGTTTTGACTAAATTGGCTAATGTTTGACTGTGGAACTCTGTAGATGTTTATCAATGTGAGAGGTTTTTGTAGGTATTTGGATTTGAATTTGGCTATTATATATTCCCCATGTTCATCCCTTGTGCAAGTATTAGTGATACATTCTAGTTGGTCTGAGCAGTATATGGTTGTGCCACCCCCTTGTTGGTCTGGCCTACAGTTGTGTATGGCTGTGTAACCAGGAATGGCACAGACATCTGTACCATCAGGCTTTAGCCAGGTTTCAGTTAGTGTAATGATGGACATATTGGCATGTAAGGAATTTAGTAATGCTATGAGGTCATCGTAATGCTTGCTTAAAGATCTGATATTGTAGTTAAAGATAGTTATGTTGTTGTTGGCACTGAGAAGTGCCTTTGATTGTTCTGCAGTGTAGTAATTACAGTAACTGTTTGATTCATTTAAGTCATTAAATAAGAGGTTGGTATCAGGATCAATGCTTGTAATCATAAGATTTGTAGTGAATCTATAGTTAGAATTAAGTATAAAACAAAGTAAATAGTCTTAAGCTAAAAAATAGCACCTGAATTATTTAACAAATGTAAAATAATGAGCTAAGGTAGTTTTTTTTTAATAATAATAATAATAATAATAATAATAATAATAATAATAATAATAATAATATAATATATTTATTTACTACAAGTAAATGAGACAATATTTTACTGAACTGGGCGGTTAGAATGACATTTTTCCGGGAGACAGGAAAAAAAAAAAGATAATTAGATAAGATTTGTTTGGAGTTTTAACACGGGATAGGGAGGGTTAGCCACCCAGGATAACCTGGGATAGGGAGGGTTAGCCACCCAGGATAACCTGGGATAGGGAGGGTTAGCCACCCAGGATAACCTGGGATAGGGAGGGTTAGCACCCAGGATACACTGGGATAGGGAGGGTTAGCCACCCAAGATAACCTGGGATAGGGAGGGTTAGCCACCCAGGATAACCTGGGATAGGGAGGGTTAGCCACCCAGGATTTATTTATTTATTTATTTATTTATTTATTTATTTGAACATGATACAGAGAAGCACAAGGAATGCAATTTTTAAAGTGCAACATGCCAAAGCCCCTTGTATGCAGAGCATTATGGGCAGGCTTAAAATTAACCAAGATACTACGTGCCGCAAAATGCCCTTCTCACACTATACCACTCACTTATTTATCCATACCTCACCTATGCTATTTGTGCTTGGGGATCAACTGCAGCAACACACCTAAAGCCAATAATAACCCAACAAAAAGCTGCAGTAAGAATAATCACTAAATCCCATCCCTGGCAGCACACCCCCCCACTCTTCAAAGATCTAAACTTACTCCCAGTTCAGTACATCCACACTTACTACTGTGCAATCTATATCTACAGGGCCTTAAACTCTAATATCAACCTTGACCTAAAACGCTTTCTTGATAGTTGTGACAGAACCCACAGGCATAACACCAGACACAAACATCTCTACGACATTCCCCATGTCCGACTAAACCTTTACAAAAATTCAATGTATGTCAAAGGCCCTAAAATCTGGAATACCCTACCTGAGAACTCTAGAACTGCAGACACATTCATCACCTTCAAAACTACCATTAGAAAACATCTTATCTCCCTGATACACCCCGTCAACTAACTACACAAATACCACCTGGTGGTTCACACTTACACTCGCTCACTCATTTGACCATAAACAGAAATATTAATCTCAGTCTTAAAATAATGAATCCTGTGATACTCCAATACTGAAACTATATACTGTACCAAAACAAAAGCATTCACATTGCTAAACCCATAAACTAGTATTTAGTCACTTAGCCATAATACCAACTTACCTCATAATTTGTAATATT